TGATGGGCTGGGGCAGGGGCAACAACACAGGTCAACCAAGGGCTGCGTACCCACTATTGTTATGCCAGTGTGCCATGCTCATTAAACGCATCTAGTTCTCAGGGCTCCAAGAAACAAGTTTCAGAGGTTCACTCTTTCCCACCATTGAGCTCGGTGCATAAGCGCTCTCTCAGCGTCCTTCATTACAGGTCAGCCTACTATCTGATATTTCTTGTACCACATAAAGTTAAGCCTAGGAGCACAATTCTACCCCTTGATACACCGTGTGTGTGTGTGTGTGTGTGTGTGTGTGTGTAAAAATTATTTAGAACATTTATTCTCTGTTTTGATTACAACAAGGCAGAGTTGGCTCTAAGTGTACATACATGATGAAGAGAGTCCCCTGAAAGAGGCAAGACTTAAGTAGCACGAGAGCAAATGTCTGCGCAAAGCTCATGCCCAATACACTGGTTTGCATTAGTTTTTGATGTGCAACGCACATCTCAGTAGTACCACTAGTAAGGCTACTTCTAGCCCCTGATTAAGTCAATGTTTTCAATTTCGTCCCAAAAGGTTTTTTTTTATAATCAAAAATTTACACACTATCAAGCAAATTATTCTCTGAGGTATCCTAAACAAAGTTTCACTTGAGTCAAAAAAAATTCCTAGCCCTGGCTGGCGTAGCTCAGTGGACTGAGCTCGGGCTGCGAACCAAAGTGTCACAGGTTCGATTCCCAGTCAGGGCACATGCCTGGGTTGCAGGCCATGACCCCCAGCAACCACACATTGATGTTTCTCTCTCTCTCTCTCTCTCCCCCTTCCCTCTCTAAGAATAAATAAATAAAATCTTAAAAAAAAATCCTAAAGAAACCATTTCATATGCTTCCTTCCATCCCTTTTTTGCTATAACTCATTTTTAGATTAATGCTTGAGTTCAAAATATCTGTGACAAAGTACTTCTCTTTTATTCATCTTCCAACACCAATTGCCATAAATAAGTATCTACTTTATTGAAACCCTAAAAATAATTGTGCATCACTCAAGTATTTTACTTAGTAGTTTACAAATCTCAAGTATACAGAATAGGAAATATTTGCATATTTTAATATATGTGCAGTGGTAGTGTGTGGGGGATGCGTGTTCACGCACACACGCACCCAGGAAGGTAGGGCTGTGTGTGTAAATATGTATCACCCAGGCGATTCTGTACTAGAGTGTTTGCGGTGGCCCTTCCAAACCCCCAGATCTTCAAAGAGCTCCATATTTCCTGCCTAGAAACCACAGAAATAGTGTATTTCAAACAGCTTCTGACATGCATGCCCCTCTGTATAGTACAATCTCCAAAAGAAAACAATCTGGGAATTAGAATTTTAAATTATAATTCCAGAGAGTTTTGTTGGGCCAAGGTATCTTGCTTTCAAGTTTCTTATAAACTATAGTAACCTGATGTTTTTCTTCAGTATAAATCAACTTCGGTTACATTTTAAAAGATGTTTTATACAAAAACACAGCATGAATTAAAGAAAACAAGACTAACTCTCTGCCGCACTGCAGCTACGCACAATGTAGTATTTTATCTTGCCTATCTTAATAATACAGAGATAATGCTTTCCTTTTCTATATTATGTAAAATGTTTAAAAAGAAAAATGTTTTCTTTCTTTGAGTTAAAATCCCTTAAAACAATTTATTAATATAGCACCCAATAAAGTAATGATAAAGGCACATAAAGTAAGAAATTTTAACTAAATGTAATTTATCCTTAATTTTAGATGTGCCCATCTAAAATGCATCTATAAAATTCCATAATGAATACTACAATTCTTTGATTATAAGACACTTTTTATATCTTGACATTTCTAAATTAGAGATGGGTTTTATAATCACTGGCATGTCACACTGGAATCATTTTAAAAATTCTGAATGGCACCTTAAATCTGGTGCACTACATGTTTATAAAAAAGTGTTTTTTCCAATTAAAAGAGGTAACTTTTTCTCTTTAAGTGTAATACAACTGCCCCACACCCAAACCAACCCTAAATGTGTAGTTCCATAAACTACAGCCTTTTATATGGGTGAAAGATGGTCAATAAATTTAATGAAGCAACTAAATTACCAGAACTAAAGAAACAATTCTGATAAGAATATAGTAAATAACAACTTTTATCAATTAATTATTATATAATTTCCAGAGTTTTAAGCAAAAAATTTTACACTATTCCATCTTCCTATGCTTTCTAAGTATCTGTCCACCCTATGTACTGATATAAAATCAGAATGAAGGAGCATTCCAACGGTATGCTGCAAGATAAAGACTACTTTGCTATAAAATGTGTTCTATCTATAATATAAATGATCAAAGTACAGAATATGCACTTGTGTCAAGAACAGAAACCAATGTTGGATAAAATGTCTGAAGACATAAAAAAACCATTTCTACATTAACAATGAATGTACAGTAATACTGCAGTCTGCTGAGACTGCCGGTCACATCATCTAACAAGTCACAAATCAAAACGCTATGTGACCTAGCGTCCAATGCAGATACTAACCTGCAGCACTTTAAATCATGTTATTAGAGTGAAGTGGTCAAGGCGCCCCTTGCTTATTTCAAGCTGCCAGCATTCTAGTGACAACACTGTGATTAAAAGCATCAAAAATGTGAGAGGTGCTGTGTCAAACTTATCAAAAGTAAGACAGTCAACACTTCTGTCCATAATTTTAAAAAATGAATGTAAATATCAATTTTGAAAGTCCAGTATGATAATGATGAAACAGCCCTTCTAATATTATACAACGAAACAAGGACAACATGAGAACGAGTACACACAATTTTTTTTCAGCTACACTAGGAGTGTCACTCATTTCCAAGATAGGTTTCTAGATTCTGTGCTGACATCTCACTTGGAGACTCGTACAACCACAATCTTTAAACCAGTGCAATACCTGCAACATATTTTGTTTTCAAGTTTGCACATAAAGCCCAAAGAGTGATTAAAAAGCCTGGGATTAAAAGTCAGTGAAAAGTTTCACATTCTTTCATATTATCTAATCCAAGTGAATGCCAGTAATTTTAATAATGGTAAATGCAACAAAAAGAGTTTGAGAGGAATCGTAGTCAATACAATCTCCCTGAAAACAAGGCAAACCCTCCCCAGACGTTAAAACCGCACTGTCGTCACAGCGTTCCCGTTACCCTAGGGAAAAGATCAGAAGCCAACTGCAATTATGGAACTGAACTGAATCACCTTAAAAATAAACACCAAATTCCCCCTTCCCACTTTTCTGAATAACAAAATAAGGAACATACTATTCCTATCAAAACCTGTAAGAAGACTTTATTTTTGCCCAGGAACCTCAAAGTTCTAGCGCTCTCTAAATCATTAGATAAGGTAAGCAAAAGCCTCCCATTTTGAATATATGGTATAACCGTATGCAGAGAGAAGGAGTGGACAAATCTAACTTAAGAATTCTAGATAAATAGAGCAAATGATGCATTGTTGGAAATACACAGGAAACTAAATGACTATTCATAGGACCAAATGAAAGCCATCGTTAGAAATTAAAAAACACTAATGGTTTTACACATACGTGTATATATGTAAGACCCAAAGGAGACGTGAACATCAGATAAAGGAAAACTAAAATAAAAATAAATAATTAACAGGAAACCAAGACCAAATATTTCTGCTACTCAGTTTACCTTGGAAATAAATCTGAAGAGTGCTCCCCAGAGCCTATGAAACACAGGATGGACACTTTGTATACAAATTAATGTGTTTAAATCCATCAACACCACTATTCACTATGTGCATTAAGATGCTCGCTTCAGGCAAGTGACCGGCCAAGAAGTTTAGTACTAGCGCATCTATGCAGAACAGTAAATGCAGTGTAAAACAAGGCAGTGCAAGCATCTACATGAAGTTTGGGTCCATACTCAATCTGGCTTCATGCTTAACTACATTAAAAAAATTGCCAAATTGCCAATATATTTATTTACAGTATTTCTTATTTTCCCCTCATAAAGGCTAAGAGCTTTAACTATGAGCAATATCAATTAGCCAAATTTCCCTTTCTCTCCAGTTTTTAAAAATATTTTATTATCTAAACTATCAACGTCTATTTTTCTCTGTATGTGAATGAAAATAGACATACAGAGAAACAAAAACCCTGTATGACTTATACAATATACACAGATATTACATACAAACTGAGACTGCATGATTTTTATATTAAAGTACATGCTTTTTCCACCATACAGTTCTTCTTTGTTGTTATTAAGAGTAATAGAAAACTTTTGCAACTAAGCACATGCTGCTAATGATTCAGGGTTTAAGAACTTGTAGGTTAAAAAAATACAATTCCTAGAACACTGTTATCAAACAAGTAAGTTTTATTGGCATCTAAAAACAAAATTCACCCAACATTGAAACGTACTTTAATATTTACGTTGTTGTTTTCTTTTTTCTTTGTACTCACTGTAGTATGAGGAACAAATCACAAACACTTACTTTGGAGAAACAGAGACCATAGTGTAGATTTTACAAAATCACTTTTTAAAATCTCTGTATTGTGCTCCTCAAATACCTAGAGCCAGTCTTTGCATAAAATATCACAGCTTGGTCTATTACCTTAAAATTCTGCAGCAGCCTAAAGATATGGGGTAAGATATACCATGACTTGCTATTTTGAAATATATCTATTGCCATATCCAACCTAATGGTAGTATCTAAAAATTCCTTTCTTCCATAGGAAGTCTCTGACAAGCTGTTATTCATTTCCTTGAAGTTAAAAGAATCAGGGGGCAACATTTATACTTTATCAGAAAAATAAAAAATGTTTACCTACCATGTTCATATTAAGAACAATGTCTATACAAGTCAGTTGTACAATTATTTTAAGAGAAAAGTGAACAGGAACATCAGATTAACTTAATTCTGGCAGACAAAAGTGAACAACTATGGTCCAGTCAGCCATTAATCTATTACAGAGAGATGACAACTTTACAAAAGGTATCTTTTACCTACTGAGTGATGATTATGTCCCCTCAGTTTCTGTGCTTTCTACCACTGGTTCACTTTCTATATCAGCAACTGTGTCACTCTTCTCCTTGTTCATTTCACTCGAAGATGTCAGTTTCTCATAAAGTTCAGGATCATTCTGCACCGGCAAAGGTGGTGGTTGAGCATGTCTCTCAGCATTTTCACCATTAACCTGAGGCACATTATCCCCTTTTCGTTGAGAAGCGGCCCCTTCAAAGAAATCAAAGACCCGAGCTTGAGGAGGGGGGACCCAGGTGTTTTGAATTCGTTCTCTTCCAAGACGACTTCCGTTAATTTCTCTGCAGAAGTCAAAATCTCTGTCATCCCTGTCCCGCTGCCTCTCCCAGTGTCTTCTGCGGTCATCAAAATCTCTGTGCACTTCCTGCCCAAATCCTCTGTTCCAAGGACCACTTCTGGGGTCAAAACGATAGTTTCCCGACCGGAATCTGGCTCGTTCTTCATGTAAGCCTTTTGGCCCAGTGAAGACAGGCAGGACTCGATGCTCTCTCTCATCAAAATCTCTCGGCCCCCACGGTTTCTCCGGATTGAAGCCAAAGTGGTCTCTTCGACCAAGATGATCCAGACCCGGCCTCACGAGATTTTCTCTAAGATCTACAGGAGGTCTTCCAAAATGATCCCTACCATCTAGTGGGGGTCTTCCAGGACCTTCTCTGGGATCTACAGGCCGTCCAACCACCTCCCTAACATCCACCGGGGGAGGTCTACTCATGCTTTCCCTGGTTTCTATAGGAGGAAACCGGTAATCTCGATCTCCTTCCTGTTGAATGTTATCATTCCCAAGTGGTATCCTTTTTTCTGGATTATTAATATTGTCTATACTTTGCCTTCCAGGAACTAGAAAAGGTCTTTCTGGCTGACTAAAAATATCTCCTGGAGGAAAAGGACCACGGGGTGGTGGATGAAGAGCTGAATCAAGTATCGATGGGGGAGGGATTCCTCGCTGGGGTGGAATCCCAGGCTGTAGCAATGGAAATCTTGGTCCAGGTGCCTGTGGCATCAGTCCTGGACGAAGGTCTAACATGGGCATTACAGGCATCCTTTGACTAGAGAGGTTCAAAGGGGGTAAGTTTTGAGGCCCAGCTGGTGGCTGTGTTGCTAAAAGTCCAGACGCGCTGGGGATATTCGGTGGCTGTACGCCGACAAGTCCAGAGTTGTTGGGGAGACTGGGGGGCAGCACTCCCAAGAGTCCGGAACTGCTCGAAGCACTTGGCGGCTGTATTCCCAAAATTCCGGAGTTATTCAGAATATTTGGTGGCTGGACTCCAATAATCCCAGAACTACTGGAAACGTTAGATGGCCGGACTCCAAGAATTTCAGGATTACTCGATACATTTGGTCTTTGAACTCCAAGAATGCCAGCATTGCTTGTCATGTTTGGCGGCTGCCCTAAAAGCGCAGGGCTACTTGGAATATCATTTGGAATCACTAAAATGGAAATGGGGATGGGGGAGAAAACAATTATTCTGGTGTGAAAACTAACACTGTAATTTCCAATAGTTAGCTTAGAATTAATCAGCTACTTATTTCCCAGGATTCAAAGTATATTAAGTAAAAATTAAAGCTAAAATCAATACCGTGTACAGTGAAATTTAAATATAAAAACATAAGTGGGGGTGTTGACTAAAATCTTACATGATCTTTAAGTTAACGAAAATGCCAGGTTTTATACTGATTCTCCATTTTTCACAAAAGTCTTTCTAAACCACAATTCTCAATCTACTAATAGTGGTGCCATGAAAAAAAAGGGGGGCACTTGCTGCTTTTAAACACCATATTTATCTCTAGACCTGGCTAGATAATGCCTTATAGAAGCTATTTATATCTATTAATTGTTTATTTTTATTGTTCTGTAAGTATCCAATAGTTTGTACAATCTTATTTTGATAACAACATATTAAAGCGGTCCCAATAAGCAAAAAGGAGGAAGAATGGCCTTAATGGAAAAGTGTCAAAATCTACACCATTCTGAACAGAACGCCAAACTGGTTTTTAACAGACATTTCACCATGGCTGGTGTGGCTCAGCTGGCTGGAGCGCTGTCCCATAAACTGAGCAGTCATGGGTTTAATTCTCAGTCGGGGCTCGTGCCTAAGTTGTAGGTTTAGTTCCCAGTCGGGGCATGTACAAGGGGCAACTGATCAATGTTTCTCTTTCACATCAGTGTTTCTCTCCCTCTCCCCCCTCCTCCCGACCCCTCTCTCTCTAATATCAATAAGCATGTCCTTGGGTAAGGATGTTGAAAAAAGAAAAATCAAATTTCAACATTTGTGCCTTAAACTGGTTACAAATGCATGGCACCTCAGAATTAAAACACAACCACAGAGAAGCAGTGCTTATGATTTAACTATTTATTTGTGGGGATTTGTACTTTCATTTACCTGGTCTGGTGTTTTCACCAGAAGAAATCTGGTGGTCTATAAGATGAGGTACTTTTTCTTCAGGCTCTGCTTGTTTAGCAGGGTTAAAAACATTTCCGGCTGGCAGAGTGGAAGCAGCAAGATTGCCGGCAACAGGACCACCTGGTAAAACTAGGCTACCAAATCCAACCTCCTTCACAGTTTCTGGAGTCATGGATAATGGTGGCTGCACTAAAGCTGTTTAAAGAGGGAGAGAATATTTTCAGACTCAATTGTCTAATAATCCATGTGCTAAGTTAATATTAACCATGACTAACAATGGCCTTCCCGAAGTTTTAAATGACTTCCTATTCTCTCTCCCCAGGTGTTTGGTTAAGACTGCTCAATTAACATGACACACAGTAAGTCCTCACCTACTGTTGTGGATAGGTTCTGTGACTTTAAAATGATGCACAACAAAACCAATTTTACCACAGGCTAATTGATATAAATAAGAGTTAAGTTCCCACAGCATCTCAGAAACATTATAACCAAACAACACTGAACGCAACGACATTATTCGAGGACCTGCTGTATACGAATTCTCTTCTGACCCCACTGTTCCACTTATAATGAAAACTAACTTTCAGCAGCAGCCTCAGTGTTTCATTTTACAGCACCTCCGTGTCACCCAGCACTTTGTGTAACAACTGATGCTCAAAAGGATGAATGTGTCGCCATGAAGAGGATATATTTTATTTAGAAAACTTTTTAAAAAACTGCAAAATTTTTTTAAATATTTGCACAAAGATGTTTACTAACATAAGGACCAATAACTTCAGAAAATCCCAGTAATACAAACCCCCCCGAAACCCAGTTTTCCAAGGATGCTAGTCCATGTATGTATGAACATACAGAAATTTGTGCAGACTGACAAATATGTGCGAGAATAAAAATCTGCCCAATCCCCTTGAAATTACAATGGACCACAGTCCTTGTATTCACTACTTTTTGTCAAACAGGTAAGAAATCATCAGATGGGAGGAGATAAAGTGGGCTAGAAATTCAAAGAATGGGTAGAAAAGCCCCTCAATGATATAGAAAAGTCTGTATCATTTACATGTTAAAAAATAGAACTAGAGGAATATAAAATCACAATTAAATATTTAGGATTTTTAGTCCAATTTATACCACAAACTGTTAAGTCATTTACTCGGGGATTTTCAGGAACTGGATTAGCCCCACATTTAACTCTCAGCTATCTGGGCAGCCTGTGAGCACACAAGGAAGCTGTAAAGCCGGGGTGAAGCCACCTGGGACCATGTATCAGGAGAGTATCTGGAACACAGTGGCATTTCTCTTTCTCCGTTAAATTGATCCCAGATTTCCCAAGACAAGCAAATTAAGAAAAAAATAACGGAGAGGGAGGCTCTAGGATGAGTCTCTATAAATGGTGAACGCTTTTCCAATTTTTAGAAAAAATAATTCTTCCTACTTAAGTAGTAACCAACAATAACAAAAAAGAATTCTAGATACCAAAGGAGAGTAAACAGTTTAAAAATGTAAGGAAAATGGGTACTATCAAAAAGGAAACTCTCTATCATATACACCCTTTTTACAATAAAGTCCTCTGGGCCAATATTGGGCTAAAAACACTAAGAAACTCTCAAAAACTGATGTAGTCATCTCAACAAGATACAGAGGCAACAAGAACAATGTGTCACAGTCAAGGATGAAGTTGAAATGCAAAGAGAAAAGTGAATGCAACTGCATAATCTACCAACAGTAAAGGAAACAAGGAGAAAGAGGTGAAGGGAAAAGGAGAAGAGGAAGAGAAGAGAACCCTCTCCCAGCCTCAGCTGTTGACTGGTAATACCTTAGAACTAACTCACTGCTCTCAAAAATGGCATTCACAGGAAAGAATTTAGCATCTACCTGTACAACTGTATTTCAAGATAACTACATACTACTGGTTAATAAGGTGTGTGTGTGTGTTTTATTTACTTACTTTTAGAGAGAGGGAAAGGAGGGGAGAAAGAGAGAGAGAGGAACATCCATCAACTATCCCTCACACGCCCCAAAGTGGGTACCTGGCTTGCAACCTAGGCATGTGCCCTGACTGGGAATCGAACCTATGACGTTCTGGTTCGCAAGCCACTGGCTCAATCAGCTGAGCCACACCAGTCAGGGCAAGTTTTTCTTTATAGAAAAATTCTACCTAAGAAATATGTAAGGAATTATAAAAATAAAAAAACGACCACTTTGAAACTAATGAAAAGTAGATTCAAGTAATAATGATCAATGAATGAAACCATCAGATGCAAATTTTAAGGGAAACATTTTAATCACCAGGTTCCACTACCTGAATGCTCTGGTACATCTTAACATCATTTAAGGAGGAAAAGAAGGCACTGCATAGCTCCTGATATGATGTAATATCAGGTCGATAGTACCCCACCTTTAAGAATTCTCACCAAAAAAGTTGAAGTGAAATCAAAGCAAGTCTTTGGTGCTAAAAACTTCCTATTTACAGGAAATTCAAAGAGTTAGAAGAACAGATTCAGTACCACAAAGAAGCAAAAAGAGCAAACCCATTATTTGGAATCTTGCATATTAGAAGTGAACTGTTTCTCCAACAAGTTAAAGAACTAAAGAATTAAAAAAGAGAGGTTTGAGCAGTACTACTCTAGATTAAGATATTTCACACACACACACGCTCACGCATACACATATGATAGGGAGGCCCTTCTCTGAGTTTTGACTAAAGTAAACTAATCATAAAAAGATATTTTGAGACAAGAGAGTAAATCTGAACATGGACTGTCAAGTGATGCTGTTAACATTCTAGAGTAATTTAACAAAAAAAGAGAAATGCATGTATGGAAACTTTCATCATAAAAAATGAGCAATAATTCACAAGAATGAGAAATGACACATTAACGCTACCAGGAAGGAAGAAAACCCGAAAGCGGAAGACTCACGTGTTGGTACTACTGGTGGGATAGTAGGTGGTGGTACAACCGGTGGCGGGACTGGAGGCGGCATGAAACCTACATTGAAAAAATAAAAAGGCCCCAAATAAAATAGTATAGGAAAAGTTACTTCTTTTAAATCAAAGATTTCAATAACTCTAAGTGAAATCCTACTTCCTTATAAAAGTCTTTCATTACTGCAACCTCGTATTTGTGAAGGTATCTTCCATTTCAAAAATTACTTTTACATATACTCCCTTATTTGATCCGTAGTAAAGTACAGAGTAAGCTAAGTAATGCATAAAGATCCTCATCCTGAGCAATCCTATTTTTCATTCATCTGTTGCTGTGGCACTCTCTATAATGCCATAAAATTAAAGATTAATACAAGCCAGGCAGCCTGCTTATATGTTAGCATTGTGAATGACCTGGGGAGTTAAATGCTACATTTCAGGTTGCTCATCTTACTTGCTCATCTTACATGCAACATCATCTGTAAAAGATGCTATTGTATTTCTTTGATATATATGATGTTTACCCACTAGATCAAATATTTTCATCAACCTTTGTTGTTATGTTTTCAGGATTAAAATAAATCTTCAATGTAATACTGGCTGTTTCATGATTTTAAATATCAAATATTCAAACTATAAAACCTGCTTCCTAGCGTTTTTAAAGTACGGAGCTAACATTAAACCCAATTAGAAACAGCTGCTGAAAATAAGGAAATAATAAAAATATATGATTTTCAACAACTGAATGCTAGACAATGACTTTATAAAGTCTACATGGTATGTATGGTGCTTGAAACAATCATTTAAATATGTTCTGAATAAAATTTTTATTTTTAAAATCACAAATACAGAAAACATTTCACAAGAGTAATTATCAAGTATGTAATATATACAGAGATAAAGTTCTAATTAAAATCTGTATCAAGTTATATATTAAACTGTAGTTTTAAAATTTTATAAGACAAATTACAACCACTTTCAGACTATGAATTCACTTTTTGGTCTTGTTAATATTTTTAAGAAATCTATTTAACAGCTAAAAACTTAAGTTACAAAAATCAAATTATAGTACCTCATTTCTATAATAGGCAAATAATTCTATATAAGCAATTATTTATATTTAATTGATGTTACTTACATAAACTATAGTTTTTACCTAGAAACACTGATTTAAGCAACTTTTATCAACAATTAGATAAAAAAAATGTATTATGGATTCAATTAGCATTTTAAGATATTACTTCTAGCCCTGGCTGGGTGGCTCAGTTGGTTGAAGCACTGTGCTGTGCACCAAAATGTTGCAGGTTTGATCCCTGGTCACAGCAGGTAAGGGAGGAAACACGTGTGTGTGTGTGTGCGCGCGTGCACGCATGTATGTATCTATGTATTTATTTCTCTTTCTGTTTCTCTCTCTCCCCTCTTTCCCTTCCCTTCTGTCTCTAAAAAAACAAAACAGAAAAAACAAAACAAAAACTGAAACCAGTAACCATATCCTTGTATGAGGATTAACTTTAAAAAATTTCAACATAAGGTTTATACTATTTTAAGAGCATTTCAATAATTTTAAAGATTCCTTTTCTTCTCTCTGTCAATGCTTCTTAAAGTATGGTCCTTTGACAATGTGCATCACCTGGTGGGCTTGTTAGAAATGCAATGTCTTGTCCGCCCTTAGTCACACTGAAGCAAAGGAGGCTGGCCCAGCTATCTCTGCTTTCCCATACCCTCCAAGTGACTCCAGCCTAAGCTAGGTTTGAAAATCACAGCTCTACAGCATTTTAGCCTGGAAAAAGAACAGTTTAAGTAATATTCTACATAGAGTTCCATTAATAGGACAACATTTCCTTACCAGGAGGTGGTTGTGAAGGGTTGAAACTTGCTCGTAGAAAAGGAGGTGGAGGGATTGGACTGAAGCCAGGAGGAGGAACCGGCATGGACACAGGAAATGCTGGTGGGACTAAACTAACTGTAGGCACAGCTGGTGCTACTGGAATCTTTGTGGGTAGAAAATAAAAAGTCCATAAATCATTTTATCCATCTGCAATGATTACATCTTGGAATATCTAAAGGTAAATTATTTCTATTTTTTGTTTAGGAAGGTAACAAATACCATTATATTAAGCTGCTTTGCTTTTTCCTTTTTGTATACTTGTAAGTAAGCCTACTTGGGGTAAAAGAAAGGCATTATTATTTGACAGACAGTGCACATAGAAATTGTGAAATCTAACATTCAAGTGATGTGCAGTAATGGGCACCTATTTCAATAGTACCTATCAGACTCAATTTTAAATTGCCATTTTCCACTAAGTTTGTAACACCTACCACTGTTATGCAACCTACCACCAGGAAGCATGTCAATAACAGCTTTAAAATGACTCCAATTTCTCATAAATTCATTTTCTACTACTGGCATAAAAACTCTGTACTCATCCTAGGTACAATAATTCCCAAATAAATATTTATCTGCACTATTGTTGTACCTTTCTTCTAAATTTCCTGTTGTATCAATGGTCTATCCAACATCTTAACTTCACTGTCTGAAAGACACTTGATATACACAAAACTGAACTCCCAATTGTTCTTCCCGAAAGAACTCTTCCCACAGACTTTCCCATTTTCAGATAATAGTAACTCCCTCTTTCCAATTTCTCATACCAAAAGCCTGGCCTCTGCTTTCTCTCACAACTCAAAAATCTAATCTGCCATGAGTCATGCCATTGGTCAGACCATCAAAATACACCTAATATCCCACCGCTTCTCATTCCCTCACCGCTATCAGTCCAGTCTGAGTCATCACCACCTCGAATCTGAATTGCTCCGACTGCCTTTTCACTGGTCGCCCTGCTCTCATCAATGCCCGCTGGCCTATTCGCAAAACAATATCCAGTGAAATCCTTTAAAACTTTTAAGTCAGGTCAAGACACTTCTTCCTTCAAACCCTCCAAAGACTCCACGTGGCAGAGAGAAAACCAAAGTCCTTCTAGGTCTCCTTTTTGCAGTGCTGCCTCTCACTCACTGTCCTCCAGCCCACTTGCTATTCCTGGAACACACCAAGCGTGCTCCTGGCCTGGGGCCTTCTCCTTGGATAGCCAAATGGTTACTTCCCTCAGGAACTTTAAGATGTTGCTCAAATGTCTCATTCTCAATTATCTACCTTGAGCACGTGATTTAAGACTGTATCACCTACCCAGGCTGATCATCCTTATACTGTCTTTTTCCTTCCATAGTAACTCATAACTTTATTTACTTTGTATTTTCTGTCTCCCTTTTTGAGAACAAAAGCTCCAAAAGGGCAGGGGTTTCATTTTGTTTTTCCCCCACTGATTTACCCCAATCTCAGGTGCCTAAAACAGTAAATGTTACAGAGCAGACAATTAGTAATTATCTAGTCAATAAATAAATACTTAAATATAAATTAGACCATCTATAAAAATTTTTTTGGAAAAAAGAAATGTTTGATGTAACTCATTTTTATTCCACTTTAGACAATTGCCCCCAGTTTTATAAAGTCAATACATGAGTAAAAACAGAAATGTAAAACAAAACATTCAACCACAAAAACACCCAGCACTAACCTGTAACATAGCAACAGGTGGAGGAAAAACCTCTGCCTGGGTCGTGACCACTGTCTCCTTCTCAACTGGAGGTGGGCTTTGAGTTGTCGGGACGGTCTCCTTAACAGGTTCCGAGCTTTTCACAGTTTCCCACTCTAAACAAAACATTTGAAATTGATTTCCTCTAGATAGGTGCAACTTTTAATCTTATTTCTATGTATACATTTACTCCATGCTTGTCTAATTCCTTCAACTGCCTGGCACACCTATCTTTAAAGATGTGTTCACAACTATAGATGCCAACCTAGGTTTTGCCCAGATAAATCTGATTCGGATACTAAGGAGTCCAAAACATGACACAAGCCAAAAATGGAAGATGTTGAAATATCTGGTCTAGAGAAAACACTTAGAAGGAATCTAATAGGTATGTATCTCAAAGGCTGGCTGACACAAGAGGAACCAACTTTATTCCATATTTTGTCACAAGGGCAGAGTAGCAAATACTAACCCGATACAGAATAATCTTTCTGAATACACAGCTAGGCAAAACTAGAACAACGAAGCTTTGACGGTTCCTCCAATGGTTCTCCATCTCCCTCAGATAAAGGAGCAGAGTCATTATAATGACGGCCAAGACTTTACACGGCTTCTTCATCCGCTCTCTCTGACTGCATCTCCTACCACACACTCTTCCACAACTCTTCGCTTACCTTGCTCAAGCCATGCCGGTCTCATGATTTTTTAAATAGACTTTGCACTTGCTGTACCACTACACGGGATGTTCTTTCCCCAGGTGGCTGCACATCTCACCCCTTCAAACACCGCCCTCTCCATTAGACCTCCAACCACTTACACGGAACTGTCTCCACACTAAACGCCTACCCCCTTCTCTGCTCTACCTCACTAAAACCTGGCAACACAAAGTGCTGTATAGTTTATGTCTTTTGTTCACGGTCTTTCTTTCCACTAGAGCATGGCTGGCAAACTGCCCTGCACTAAAGAAGTTTAGACTTTGCAGGCCGTGTGTCCTCTGCTGCAAGTGGGCACGCCTGTGTTTCTGTAAACGGCTGCTTACAGGACAGACACGGGCAAGGTCTGCCCGGAGGCCAGAGGCTGCCACCCTCTGCGCGAGTGCGCACTGCAGGAGAGGGGGCGTCTGCCTGCCTGCCCGCCTTGCCGCTGTAATCTCAACCCCTAAAATTATGCCTGGCAAAGAGCAGGACTAAAATACTTGTTAAGTGAATAAATATTCTGGAGGAACATCCATACAAAATAAAAACAGAAACGGACAAGAAAACAACCAAAAAAAGTGTCTGAATATATGCACTGGCCTAAGAACAAAAATATCCTAAAAATTAGCTCATTATGCTAAAAATATGTGAAAAAATAACGTATCATATTTCAATTCTTTTAAGTTTTTTTACTGTTTATAATTACTAATCATTTTTAACTAAAATTTTTAAAAATAAAAAAGACAAGTTTTTAAAAAGAGCAAGCCAGAAGATCATTTGTTATAAGCGTTCTCAAATTGCATGCATATGAACCATAGCTCTCTAAACAAAGTCTATTCCTGCCATTCTCAACATGGATACTAATCAAAATAACCTGGGAAGTTTTTCAAAGAAGCTTCTGAAGTCTCCAGTTCTCATTTAAACTCAAGGAATTGAAATATTTAGTTTAAAAAAACCTCCATACATACAATATGCAACTCTCTCTTAAGAGAGCAAAATTTTGTTAAAAGACAAGCATGCAAAATGCTACATTTGTAGGCTTTGAAAACACCACCTACACGCTGACACTAAGAAACAGAACCCATCAAGCATGTGCATTGAACACTGTAGTGTTTCATCTTTTCTCTCCTTTTGGAGGGAAGAATCCAGGAGCTAGAACAATCACAATTCGCCCTATCATGAAAAACTCGTATCAACTACAACCTTTTAAGTGTACTTTTTTAAAACAATAAAAGCACCCTTATGGTTCTTACCAGTATTTACGGTTTCCTGGTCAATCATGCCTCCTTCTGCAAAACCTTCCAAGTCATCCACTTTGACTTTTTCCCACGGTATATATGTCACTCCAAGATCCACATCCCAGAATTGCTTGTATTCTGTTTTCACACCCTTGTTTAAAGCCCAAGCAATCTATCAGGAATGAGAAGAGGAAAAAAGAAAGCTTATAAATACTGCAAAAACAAGGTAAAACATTCAAAAACATGTAGACAATGTAAATACAAATAAAACTAGTTTTAAAAACCAGTGGACGAGTACAGCATCACTGCTGAAAGAGCAGTAGCCACGAAAAATTTCTCCATGTTCTGCTTTTGTCTGTAAAATAAGTCCTGCACTAGACACCGATGGTGTGCAATTTATTTCCACTTCTTACTGTAACTTTAAAACACATTTTCAGAAACAATATCCAAATCTACTTTTCACCATAAAGATGTCAAGCTACATTACCGATAATTGGAATAGTTATTGTAACTTAAATAAGCTGTTGGTACTCCAGAAAACGGGAAAGGGACCAGTGACAGACACTTTAGTTTATAAAGAGAGACTCTGCCATAAAGGGACAAAGCATGGGCATATTAACTCCCTTGAAAGCAGTTACCTTAAGGTTTCTAATTCAGCTGCAGGCACTGATGGCATAAATTATCTCCAAATAGAAGTGAAGTGTAAATTAGTCATAGAAGTAAAATTGGAAAAATACATAATACAGTTTAAAGACTAAGAGGAGAATAAAAATAAACCCTTTACAAGGGCCTGAGTTATATAAGACAAGAAGTTAAGAAGAAGAAATTAATACTATAATTAAGGGGTATGATTAGGGAGCATTGAGAAGTAAAGACAAACTTACATAAATTAGAAAGATCTGCTCATAAAATGGTGACCTGTCCACGTGTGATTTAAAAGAACTGTTTGACTAAATATGGTTATTGTTTTACCATATCTGCTTCTATAACCCAACAATACTGAAATAATAAATTTGTCATAGTTTGCCCAAAACATTAAACAAATGAATTAAACACAGAAACATTCTAATAATCCAATAAAACGAAAGCCATGTTTCCCTCCCCCCCAGCCTCACCTTAATGACCTTGGACCCAATTTTATACGACCCAGAACTAAGCTTCTGAAGCGCCCGAAAGGAATCTTGTCGATGAACCATGCAGACATAAGCGCAGCCCCGGGGAGGAATCATCTATTTAAAAAAAAAGTTTACTTTAGAAGGGGTATATGGAGTACAATTCATTTTGGCATTTTAGGGTTTTAATGGAACAGAACATTGACTATTGACAAATACTGAATTGTTTTCCCTTTTCTTCCTCCAGCTATCTGTTTATTGGTTCAATTCATGTGCAACTAATTACTTAGTTTTAAAAAAATTCAAAAATTCAAAAATTAGTTGGATCTTATTCTAAGCCATGATGTATGTGAAATTTTAAATAATCACATAAATTATAAAGTTTCTCTGATACACAGTAAAAACTATTTTAAAAAGTATAAAGACCTGCATACAATACTACCTAATAAAAGAAAAATAGTATTGTATGGCCAACATATTTGAAGGCATACAATTTATTCACAGTGTAAGGTCAATTTTTTCAAATGTTATATTGAATAATGTATGAAGAATTTTTGTTTTGGGTATCTTATCCCTAACACAAAATCTGTAATCTACAACAAATGATAAAAAATAAAGCCTTTCAATTTTATAAAACGTAATTTTGTCCAAGTACTTCTGGAAATAGATTTTAAAATGAACACCAAAATAGCCTCAGTGTAAGGATCTAAGAGTTTTATTTACAAAGCATTTAACTATTTAACAGACTATCAGATCATAAAAATACCCTTAATGTATTAATTCAGAAAAACAGACAGCATTTCAATTTCTTTTAAAGAACTCAAAAGGTATTCTATCACTTTATTATAACTCAGTATCTCATAAGCTCTATTTGTCAAAATAAATAAAAACCTTTCCCTTGGTCTTGCTAGCACTTCAAGCTACTGTCACTTTAATACCAACCCTTTCCAAAGAGAAGTCCACCTAACCCCTACATACTTCAACTCCTATGATATATACCCGACTCCTTACCAACCCACTGAAAGTATTTTCTTCAAACTCTCTAGTGACCTATTAAATGCTAAACCTAATGGTCCTCAAACTCCCCTAAAACCAAGTAAAAGATTTCTAAATCTTATTATCAATTTTTCAAATCCAAGATTTTATCACTAGCCATTCGGTATACTTCAGTTCACAAAATAACTCAGTGCCTATTATTTGTAAGCCCTACGCTTTTATTTTTTCATATAAAATGTTCTATTATTCATATGCAAAACATAATAGATGTACAAATATATATACACAGATGTACAGATACTTGTTTTGTCTCTATAGTCAGCAAAGTCCTCCTGCTGACACGGCGGGAAATACAAATAAAGGAAGACAGGCCCTGACCACCTCCAGGCTCCAACTGGGAAAGACGAGAGGTACACGGAGAGCTGCTGGGTAAGCCCCAGCTAGTACCTCGTGTGCCAAATGGGGTGCCGAGTCAATGCATCTAGGGGACTCTGGAGGACTGAGGGTTCCCAGCAGTGCTGGTAGTCAAGGAAGGCTTCCTAGAAAGCAGACTTTCCTCTGGGCTTGTTACAGACAGACACACCAGGCAGAGGGTCCAGTTGCTCTCCCTGGTATCCTGTGGACCTGGTATGTTTTCTCCATGTAGCTCACGTTTATTATCTCTTATTTCTAAGAGTCTTTATTCCCTCACTGGCGTCTTGGCCCATTTTACTCCATTTACAACTCTGCAGCGGAACTGTGCACGTCACCTGACCGGGGCCAGCTGGCTCCGCCTGCTGTCAGTGGTGCTCTCGTCCACAGTGGGGTTGGTTAGCAGACTGGTGGGTGCAAGGGCCCCCGGCTACACAGCTTATCCCAGCTCCATGTGGCCTTGCATCTTCCGTAAGACTAGTCCGAACTTCACCACATGGTGAGTTCAGTACGATGCTTTTAAAAGGTAACACAGAAGAGGAGGGAAACTGATGCCCAAATGGCTGATGTAAGAAACTACCAACACCACGAAAGAGGTGAAAATCCAAAACGCCACTTGGATTCAGGATCTGTTCAGTGCTGTGGTGCTAGCTTTACAGCACTGTGATAGGCTTCTAAAGACACTGATCATGGGCATCTGTTTTGTTTTGTTTTGTTTTGTTTTTTTTGTTTTCTGAGATGCAGCAAGGGCTGAGAACCTCTAGTTTGAGGGCAGGGAACAATCAGAAAAAAATTTAGAGGTTGTATGTTCATGGATTCTGAATGACAGTTATGTTTTGACAGGTGAACTTTAAAATACCTACAGCCCTCTCATGGTGTAGAAAGAGGAATCTGAAATAACTAGTTGGAACACTCAACCAATCACCTACTTATTAACCAATCACCAACTTCTTATCTGGGTAACTCAGGCAAGTCACTTAGTTTCTTCACTGGTAAGTTAAAAGACATTTGAATTACTAACCGAACATCTTGTGAGGCTCCTATGAGATCAAACACAGTTGAAAGCAAAACACAAAATGATCAAACTCAATTAAAATAAACAATGCTATTATTAATATAGAAAAGTCAAGTTTGGGCATATAAGGAATGTTGGGGTCTAACACTAGAAAGGAAAACCAGCTAATTTTCTAGTAAATAACAAGACATAGTATAATAACACTAAATACAATCATAGAGTTAGTTCATTTTAAGTGTCCTCAAATAAACAAATACAAAAGCATTTCTTTACTTAGTTTTGGCCCCCGGGAAAAACAACCACCTTTCAAGAAGAGGAAAATACTCAAAGGACAGTACGTGAGGCGGAATCACTGAAAGAACTAAGCTGAGGAGTGAAAAAGTTAAGCTCCAATGACTGGAGATGCCGTGGCCACACGGGTCCTCCTGTCTAAGGCTGGCTTTCAGAGGAAGAGACAGGGAGGGGCGGAAGCGGAGGGAGGAGGCTGGCCAAAGACTAGGACCCCAAGTCCAGCTGTGTCCCCAAACTACCTACATGCTTATGTGCACGGGAGTACAATTCTGTGGGGCTTAGTTTCCTCCTTTCCTTCTTCTAAAAAAGGAATTAAACTAGATCACACTAGTTCCTGCAACTCAAACACTTGACGTTTGTAGGAATCAAGTACTACACCACTATAAATCCCCTAGGAATTTTTGTTAAGAATTCCATTTTAAAAATTAATTAAGCAAGGCAATAAACAACAGCAGAATATACACAGAACTGAAGAAAGTCAGACAATCCTCGTAAAGATGAGTAAAGGCAGATACAACTGACTAATTAGGAACCAAAATGACTCTCTGTATGAGTGAAAACCCTATTCTTTTTAACTTTATTTTTCAACAACTGATACTTACATTAATGGATTCAATTTGTCCAAACTCTTCAAAAAGGTTGGTTAAATCCTGTTGTGTTGCCTTCTTGTCCACCTGACCAACCCAGAGAGTAGTACTGCAGACTGTCAAGACATAAGAGACAAATGACCTAAATCACTGACAGTTACTTTTTTCAAGGTGCTAAGGAAAAAGCTCTATGAACAATAACATTAAAATTTAAGACAGCATATTTAAAATAGGTGTTAAACGACATTTCTATCTGTTATATTTAGAAATCAACTAAAATCTTAGGCATCCATTCACATCTATGCCAAGTCAACCTTTGTCGTGTCACCTGTTCTCAAGCTGGCTACACACCTGAATCACCTGTGGGAGCCTGGGCCCCCCTGTGTAAGACGGTGAATGGTATGGAGTATAACGGAGTAGGGGTTGGGAGTTTTAAAACACCATGGGTAATTTGAATGTGCAACAAAGTTTCAAATCCACTTTTCATTGCAATCCTGTATACCTTTTAAGTATTTTTCCAGGCTGGAAAGATTAGTGGATATTTCTCCCTAATCAACAGTTAAATCCCAAATCAGTATCTTATCCTTAGAAAAACAATTTGCATGAAGATACAAACAGTAAACGGCTGAATTAGAACTTCTTCAGTGTTAAAATGAAAGACATGGAATCCACATGCCATTAATAAACAAACGTCACACGTGAGACCTCTTACCACTGCTAGCTATTACTGTTCCCGCCTCCATTAACATCTCCTTTTCCTGAAGACACTTACTTTAAAAATATTTACAGGCAGTACAGTTGCAGAGTTTTAATGTACAGTTGACCCTTGAACAACATGGGTTTGAAATCTGCAGGTTCGCTTACATGTGAATTTTTCTCAATACATAAAGTCGGCCCTCCATGTCCCTAGGTTTTACATCTGAAAATTCAACCCATCGCAAACGGAAAACAGTATTTTCAATCCACCACGGGTAACTCGAGGAAGTGGGAGCCAAATGCACGCATTGTTCTAAGTCATTTTATGTAAGGGGCTTAAGCGACCTTGAAGTTTACTGTCGTTGAGGGGGTCACAGAACCCATCTCCCAAGGATACCGAGGGATGACTGTAGCTAAGATTCCAGGCAGTCGAGTCGCAGGCAGGCTTTCAACTACTGGGGCGGGGCGCAGGGGCGGTCAGCGCTTCTGACACCCACAAGAGTCAAACACCAAACTGCACTTGAACTTTCATCAGTGTCATTTTCAAAGAATAAGTTTCCAGCTTTTTGATTACCTTTGATTTATAACAGGGCAGGACTAGAGTAGGTTTCACTCTAGAGCTAATTTAGAACGACAGGAAAATGTAACTATTATAAGATGCCCACTGAATGTGTTTTCAGCCAGGTCTCTCCTCTGGCTGGTCGGAACACAAACATTTTCCACGTTTGCATAAAGTCTGGGAATCGTTCAGCTAAAAGATCCCAGGCAATTGTTCTTTCCCTACTATTTCTTCTTTGCCTCTTGTAGTCTCACTCTATGCACATGTAATTTATTCAACAGTCTCAAGGGAACAAGTTTTCTTTTGCTACTATTACAAAATACCAGAAACTTAGTTTAAAACACACAAAAATGTGTACTTTCACAGTTTTGATGTTCCTAAATAGGGTGAGCTGGCTGCATTCTTTCTGGAGACACCTTGGGAAAATCTGTGTCTTTGCCTTTGCTAGCTTCTACAAGCTGTCCGCATTCCTTGGGTCATGACCTCCGCCTTCAAAGCCAACAGCGCAGCATCTACCAATGTCTGTCTTTCTCCCTCCATCTTCACATCACCCTTTCTCTCTCTGGCCTTCTTGTTTCCCGCTTATAAAGATCTATGTATTGCACCGAGTCCTCCTGAATAATCCAAGTTAGTCTCCCCACATCGAGATGCTTGTTAATCAGGTCAGCAAAGTCCCTTTTACCATAACATATTTACAAGCTACAGTGATTTAGATGTGGACATCTTCGGGGGACCATTGATCAGCTCTCCACAAATGCTTAGCAACTTTCTGGACCTCTCTCACTGAACAGCTCCCACCTCTTCTTACTCTGTCCTGCACATCATAGCTGCCTTCATCTCCCCGAAATCTATTCCATGTTTCCCATACTCTTTCAACGTTGTCCTTCTGCAAACCATTCCCATGGATAACTTCATTTCTTCCCAGAAAGCAATGATGAGTCTCTCCCACCCCATGAGGAGGGGGCACCTGACTCCTGGGATGCTACTGTTTGCTGGGTGTTTCACATACCCAGAATGATTCATAAAAACTCTTGTGTTCTAAGGACTAACGGTAGGGAAACACTACTGCGTGTGTTTAAAATGTGTTCGGAGCCACATAAAATGAATATTGCCTCTTAGTAAGAAGAGTTTTGAGGTAATAAATCAGACAAATGTTTCACCATACTTTATGTGCTTTCTGTTGTTTTAAAATTGTGTTTTATCCATGAAAATAAAACAATAGAAAAATAAATCTCATGGTCAATAACTATGTAAGTGGGGGCAGCAACAACACAACAAAGTAGGTGAGGGACTAAGTGAAAGAGACAGGATGTAAAAGCCAAGCCCTAAAACTGGGGATTCTGAACGTCTTCGCGGTAATCTCTGGGCAAGGCACAGTCCATTTTATGGTCTCGCCCTGGGGTCCTTTAGGGGCCCTCACCCTGAGAGATAAACGGAAACTTTCAGAGTGAGGAAGAGCACCATTATCAGATTAACACTGGATCTCATTATCAGATAAGACTCTGGCAAAATTGCCACAGAGCTTGCTGAAAGTGCCCTAACTCAGTGAGCAGAAGGCTACTTATTTATTGCCTTTAATTAGAAGCCTGAACTTCCAACATGCTTCAGCATTACTATAAGTTATACCAATTATTTATCTATTTCCTTGACAGAATTTGGAGCTCTCTGGAAATCAGGTAACCTTATCAATGTTCAGTTTTTGGCAAAGAAACACACTTTGCTCTAGTTTATGTAATTTGCCCATCTGCAGTCTATTGGTTCACCGCAGAAGTCGTATAACCCACTACAAATCCTTTGGGCAGAATTTGGCCCTAATTACAACCTGCCTTCCTATACCTCACACTCCTACTAAGTGAATCTCCCCCAGCCCTCTCCTAAAATAAACTCCCACGACTATCAAAGTTGTTTTCATCATGTATTACAGATTACCACATAAAGGAGGAGAAGTTTATACAATAGGAATCACTGCTTCAATACGGATTCAGTAAGTTTATAATTAGCCTGAAAATTTATGTGCTTCCTATAATAATTACTCCTACAAACCCGACGGTCCACCAGTGAGGACATTATGCACAGAAGTCACCGTGTCCACGTACTAGGCACTATGCTCTAGGTCCACTTTATACATCATTACTCAAGTCTTATATTTTGTAGTTTAACTTGCATTTTCAAAAAAAATCAACTCTCACTGACCTTAGTATTTAAGTAGAAATTGCTCCTTTTTCTTTTCTCCCCATCACATTATAAAAACCATGGATAAAATTACTCATTTGCCAAAACACTTTTCAAACCCTCAGTCTTAAAGTAAGATGTAGAGACGGAAGCAGAAAACTACTTTCTTAGCATCTGCTGCCGCCACGGTTTTTAAAAGCACGTGCGTCACCTACCACTCAGCGTTTTCGACCTGATGGGCGGCAGCCCCTTCTTCTGGCGCTCCTTCTCGCGCTCCCGGGCCCTCCTCTCGCTGGAGTACGAGCGCGAGGACTTCCTCTTTCTCTCTCTCGAGCGCGAGCGCGACCGCTTTCTGTGCTTCCGCTTTCGAGAACCGGATCGCGACCTGGACCTCCGTTTTCTGGGTGATCTTAAAAAAATAAAAAATAAAAACGTTATGACTAATGATGTTATTTTTCTATCAAATTTTTACTTTTTTTAGGGGGGGGGAATGACTGCCTTACATTTATCTACCTCAAAAAAAAAGATTTAAGTATAATCAAGTATCAAATATGTATTTTTCCAAATCTCTGTCCTGCTCTCAGGGCCACACAAGCCATGAATTGTTTTGTTTTGTTTTTTAAATAATCCCTACTGAGTCTGGATTATTATCCACAACCAAGAAGAACAGGAGAGTGAGATCCCAGGAAGGGCTCACGTTCTCTTAGGTCTTCCAACTTATTTTTCAGAGTCAAAAACAGGGATGAAAAACCCAAGAAAATAAAAATATCCTTTAGGAGGTGACAAAATGTTACATTCTTAAAAGTAAGAAACAAAGAGTAGTTCCAGCAAAGAATCAGGCCACTATACAATTCTGCTTATGAGCTTTGGACTTCCGTAAAATTTCATGGTGCTTGCCTTTAAAATATAAGGTGATACTGAAACAGTCTTTCTTTTTTCCTGTCAACCAAATGCCACTTGATTCTCTCCAAAATGCTTATTACTAAGGAGGAAATAAAGAAGCTGCTACACGACCACCAAGTTTTCAGCACTGACACTGTAACTGCTTTAGCCAGATGAGTCAGTGACATGAGGTGCATTTACAGAAAGCTGAATTGACAGGATCTCATCTATAAGAGGTAAATACAAATAACATTTTGAAATAAGTAGGAAGTGACTGAAGAAGTGGTAAAAAATACTGCCTCCTCTTCTAGCATTTACTGTAAGTATTTTCAGGGTACCCATGTATAAAACACAGGGCATAAAAAATGTTAAGGACTAATGACACAGTTTTAAGATAGTTTGCAGCAAAAACAATGTCTCCTACCTGGTACACAAAAATGTACCAGGTTAAGACAAAGTATCTTCAGCTCAAATTTGAATGAGCATGTACATTAATGTGCCTTAGCCATGCTGAAAATCCCATACACACAAAAAAACATTTGGAGGGTGTTATATAATAGTTTGATATTATGCTTTACTGTTCATAAAAATGATTTATATAGTTTTACCTTTATGATCATTTTTGGTGTTATGAGATGAAATGGAATGTAAGAAGTACAGTAATTTCTAAAACTGTTCCTCTATACCCTGATTTAACTATGGTTCAGAGGCATTAATATCCTAAAAGGTGAAGGTCATCAAAATATTATTAACTACAATCAGGTATACTACAAAATCAAAGTCTCATGATATGGCTGTGATTTATGTATATTATTCAAATACATGGCCACAGATATATCCAATTAAAAACGGAACTCTTTATTGTTGTTGTTTTGAGAGAGAGAGAGAGAGAGAGAGAGAGAGAGAGAGAGAGAGAAGAAAGAAACATAAGAGTGTTGTTCTACTTATTTATGCATTCATTGGCTGACTCTTGTATGTGCCCTGACTAGGCACTGAACCCGCAGCCTTGGCATGCTGGGACAATGCTCTAACCAACTGAGCCACCTGGCCAGGGCCAACAAAGTATTTTCTGTTTTTCTACTTCTGCATCATTTTTCTGAGACATGTCATTCTAAGAAAAACATTTCCTTTAATCTTGATGCAAAGAAATAAAGCCAACATTTTAGAAGTTTACACACAACTATTTTTAAACATCATGTAGAACCTTGAACGAGAGCGTGAATGCGTTCTTGATCTCGAGCGAACAGCCACTTTCTTTGCTTCTTGTTCAAAGACCTCCTCTTCCACTCCCTCTTGCCCTTCATCTATATCCATGTCCTGAAAAGTCAAAAGAACGGCAAACAAACAAAATGGTTGAGATTCAGTACATGGTGACAATTCAGCCTTACAAAATAGTCGCCACAGTAGCATTAATGTCTAACAGTAAAACAGCTGGAGTGCAGAGCTCAGGCTGGGGGGGACAAACACTCAAGACATTACCATTGTTTTACATAAATAATAAAATAGTACCTAAAGTAAAGTGAAGTAAAAATTAGTGTACCTAAAGTAAAAATTAGCATCTTCTGTAATATTTTTCTCTAATTAGTTTACAAATTTATGGCCCAGAAAAGCATTTACTTTTTACCTGCTGTTGAATGTCTATGGAATCATCCAAATTTGCTTCCGGTTCGAGGAAGTGCTGCTGACTGCTCCCCTGCGACGGGGACACGGAGTGCTCCGACCCAAAGGTTCCCTCTTGACTGTCCTGAGGGGTGGCCTTTTGAGAACGTACAAGCACACAGACATTGGGAAACAGTGAATACCATCACAAAGAAAAACTAGAGCACACAAAAATGACAATCTTTTAAAAGAAGTCCAACACATAAAGAAATCCCATGCTTACTTTTCTATAATCAATAATCTAACCCTAGTCTTCTGTTTAAATCCAAATTTGCTTAAAGCATGGAACAGGATAAAAGGTGAGACTATAATTTTAGAATAGAATGAGAAGATCAAGTAGCTCTTCAAATAAATTTCTAGTTGTGGAAAATACAAACGATCAAGAATTAATAAGGGGATTATGTCATCCAAGATACACAACGGCAGCCAGCACGTGTGGTGAGGGCTGCCATGTTTAGAGTGACGCAAGAAATCCTCTCTTCCCTAAGACGCTACACAAAAACTTTTATACTGCCATATTGAGCTTACGAGTAAGTAAAAATGCCTAATTTTTCTGCCTATTTCACCATATCTTAAATACAGTAGGGCATTTGGATTAGTGGAGCCAATTACACAAGTTATTCAATTTGTTGCTCTGTGGATACACTTCTCAATTCTAAATTTGTTTTAAACACTATCCATTTGATGCGTTAGAAAGCTTGTTTTGCCTCACCACTTCCCTCTTCATCATTCATTTTTGAACAACAGACCTTTTAAGAACATCCAACTCCTTTCCAAGAGGTATTATTACTTTATCTTCTAAAATTTTAGAGATCATGTATAGAGCAATTAACTAAGCTGAGAGGTCTGGGGGAGTGGAATGAGATTCCTCATCTCAAGTTTGTATTAACTTTCACCTTTCACTTCAATACGTTGGTGTTAATTACAAGCTGGCCATGAGTTTTACCTCGATTTTACTGCTTCTACTAACACTTGTGAAATAAAAGTGGAATCGAGGCAATTCAGAAGTGTCCTTTTCATGAACAAACCTAATTGTCTGGATAAATCCTTCCATCACTACTATCTCTTGTCTCTGTAAAAGCTGTGATTTTTTAAAAGTATATCACTGACAACCTGTTTCTTTTCCTTGAATTAAAATTTGTGTTTTTCTTTAAACATCCAAATGTTGTTCTTGTCTATCTTCAACTTCCTGAATTCTCAGGCAGATCTGTAGCTGACATAAATACGGTACCTACTCCAAACACTTCTAATCAGAATTTTTCTGCAAAATAAGGAATGGAAGTCCATTCTCATAATTCCAGGTACACATTCCAGGCTAGCAAGTATCACTAATAGTCATTTTATTTTTACTATTTGCATCAAAAGATCAAGGTCAGACCCGAGCAGCGAGCGCCTAAGGCTTACTACCCTTTTGGTCTAAAGTAACTCTCCCCCTCCATATTTCCGTAGTCCTTCACTTGTCCCTGCTACAGAAACTAGAATTCTGCCTGCGTTCACACAGGAACATGTGCCCCAACAGAGAAAAGGTTACTTGAGGTCTCGCTTTTCTGTTCACCTCTGTGCATATCATATGTCTAACGATGCTTATTTTTAAATGTTTGTGATGTTACATTAAATTCATTTTCATCAGAAAGTTTTGAATATTAGACAGACTAAATGTTTCATTTCACTGAACTTCAATTTCCTATGGTGTAAAATGGGTGTTAAAAAGGCCTATCTTCCTGGCTGGTGTAGCTCAGTGGATTGAGCGCGAGCTGCGAATCAAAGTGTCGCAGGTTCGATTCCCAGTCAGGGTACATGCCTGGGTTGCAGGCTATAACCCCCAGCAACCGCACATTGATGTTTCTCTCTCTCTCTCTCTTTCTCCCTCCCTTCCCTCTCTAAAAATAAATAAATAAAGTCTAAAAATTAAAAAAAAAGGCCTATCTCATCAGCATTAAATGTAATCACACTTAATAAAGTTCCTGCCACATGGTAACAGCCTAAGTAAAGGCAGCAATTTACTCTGTCATCACTACCATCCACAACTGGAAAATCATCATTACCTCGCTTGACAGGGAACTAGATGAAGAGGGACTAAGTTGTAGCACTGAAACACCATCTCCGTCTTCCGTTCTCCACTTCCAGTATACTGAAATTAATTTCTACAATGTTCTCAATCAATTCATAAGTTTCTAGAGTACATTTTGACTATAGAAAAAACTGTAAAGATCCTAAAAAGACTGACCTTCCTAGTAATAGTGAAAGAAAAAAAAAATCACCATGCATAAGCCACAACCATTTATAGAATGTAGACCGCAACACCCCTAAAGACCACAAGATGGAGTTACAAACCTTTTGAGGCTGTTGCTGTTCCAAGAGCTGCTGCCTGAGATGTTCAAGGTTTTGCTGCTGTAGTTGCTCTGCTATCTGATGAAAAATGGAATTGTTCACAGATTCTGAAACATGAGAACTAAAAGGGAAAACAAGTGGAAATATATTTTAAAACCCAGTAAAGATAATATAAAAATAACTGAGTATTCAAACCCCAATGCTAAATAAATGAAATATACTCTATGATAATTTTTACTTTTAGAATATTAACAAGAAAATGGAATACTTCAGAAGTATGTTAAACCAGAAATATACTCAACAATAGTTCAATAGATGACATGTTAGAGATACTTGGATGAAGATCTGATATTATTATCTCACACTATTAAATATAAATAAATTTGTACTTCTTACAATAGAATATTTTAAGAAAAGTTCAATAAAACACTTCTAAAAACAGTGTTTAAACACTGTCACTTTAACTTCTCTATGAAGTAGTGGGGAAAATGTTCTATCAGTACATATAAAATCTTCAGTTGTAACTGACCACAAACTTCATAAAATTTGCTTCTTTAGAAAAGAGTTCACATTAGGTATGTTAACAGAAACAATATTTAGATAAGAGGAAATAATTTAACTATGCTCTGGGAAAGTCACACCTGGAATACACCTGGAATTCTGTGTGCCACAGGGAAAACAAACAAAAAAGAGGACATCCCAAATAAAACAATGAGGACAGTGAGGTCTTGGAAAAAAAGAGTATGGCATCTGGAACAAACAAGCCTAAGGGGAAGAATGACACCTATCCTCAAAAATTAAAGAGCTATGTCAAAAGATAATGAAGCAAATTTGTTTCCTTGCTTCAAAAAGCAAAACAAATGAGTGTGTAGAAAGCAAATCAAAACAGGATTCAATAATCAAGTAACATACAACAATAACAATCACAGTTAAACTCTCAGAATGAAAGGCATTACCACACTGGATAAATACCCTGTTAACAGGACTGTTAAAGATGACTCTTATATTGTCCAGGAAGAAACTGATACACATAATTTCAAATGCTTCTTCTAACTTCACAATTAATAATCTAAAATATTAGTTTTGAATTTTTCAAGTAGGATCTCTTTATCAAAAGAATATATTTGCATTTTATATTATACAAATAAATCCTTAAATATATTATCTCAATACAAAAAACTAATAACCTATTTGAAACAAGATTCCCAGAGGCTCTCCCCATTCGTCACCCCCTTCCCTTCCCCCACCTTCCACACCACCCCCAAGACAGTTCTCTCCAGTGCTGCTCTCACAAACTCTCAACAAAACCTAGGGCTCTGGAGAATTGCTTGGGGAAAAAAATAACTGATCTAAATAAAAACATACAATCAATTTCTTTAAAAAAAAACAAAATCCCTCAACCCTAATTCTCACTTCTGAGTAGCCTGATACACTCGTACAATCTGGTATACTTCCCAGCACTAGAAGCAAGTTTCTTTCCTACTATTTCAAATATTCTTACAAAGAGTTAAGTAACTTAAAGGCTAATACAGACATAGAGAATACCACAACTAGATCTATCAATATTTCTATAAAGACTTTTGATGTAGTCCAACTATTTGCAAAGATCTGAGAGTCACAAGTAATACAGCAAGGCAACAAGAACAAGACAGCAACCCTACCATCATTCCGTAACGTTAGAGCAAATGTTAAAGTATTTAGGCTGTTCTGAAATAATAGGCTAACTTATTCAAAGCATACCTAGTAGTTCAGAATGCATCATCCCATCGAATGTTTATGAAAATTAGAAAAAAATTATGGTTATAAAGAAAAACATGATACTCACAGTTGAGAAGTTGGAATTTCTTTTTTGGGTTCTTCACTATGTTCAGAATCTTCCCCAAAATCAAACCTATCCATCAACTTCTAAGGGGGTTGGGGGAGAAAAGAGTGAAAGGAGAAAAGAGACAGATTAAAAAGTGTTTCTCACAAATATGTTACAAATGTTATTTTATTTAAAGGTCAATGACATCCCACTAATTTATCTGCATCATTCAATATGGAAATGTTTCATATCATTTTATGTTTCACTAGAATAAAACATTTTATTTGAGTGAATCTTTTCTTTAAAGTATGTTGATATACACTGCCTTGTGTAACAGAACAAATCATGACACAGTGTAAACACTAATACTCTATATAAGAGAATATTAGAATTACAATTAAGTGGCTTGCCAATGGTAATAAAGCTTGATTAAAAAACATCTAGGACTATAATCAATGATCTTTTCCTCATACACTTTTCTTAGAATTCTCCACTATTTTCTAAATGATCAACTTAGAGGATTTTAATGTCATCTATTTGAAGTCAGACTAAATTATACTTGGAGGCTGCTAGCTAAAAAAATCTAGTAACTCAATAAATCAGTATTTTCCATTGAAAATAATAGTAGCAAAAATAAAAATAATATGGATAACACCTCCAAGGTATTTTAATATTCCCATAATTAACAAGAATACTGAAGGTATCACACCAACAACTACATATGAAAGGTTCTCAACTTTAAAAACACTATATATAATTAGGCTTCAATTTATCAAAGTATTATAGAATATTGATAATTTGTAGAAAAGCTGTTCTTCGACCTTACACTAAACAGTCTGAATATAGCAGGTTAAAATTATAGAACACCATAATTAATATAGTTGTAACATCCAAAAAAGAAATTTAAAATTTCAGAAAATAATAATTTGTCTCAATGGTGAATTCACAATTTTACTGCTGGTAAATCTTTATTTTTATAGAAACAAAAATATTCTAAATGTTTTTAGAGCAGAATTATGAAGTTACTCAATTTCTTCCAGAAGGTTTAGCCTTTTGTAAAACTGGTAATATGATCTGGAACTAGTTCTATGATAGCATGCAATCAGAACCCACGTGATAATACATAAACCCCCACACTTCACATAGAACAGATTTGGTCTCTTCATTCCTACCTTGTTAAAAGACACTCCCGGCTCCAAGGGATTGAGGGTGTTGGCTGCCGCAGCGGCAGCCGTGAGCTGTGCGGTCAGAGCCTGCAGCTGAACAACAAGACCAGCATCCAGGGCCTGCAGAATGGACGGCTGAGGCTTCTGCTGTTGTATCTGTAAAGTCTGTATTAACTGCTGAAACTGGAAGGGAAACAAGGGAAAATCAATACAAACAGAGGCTGGGTTTTATCTACAAGAATGCCCATCTAAAACTTCTACTCCATAAAACTCATTCTAGTCTTTGGAGATTGAAAAAAAAATGTGAACTAACCCAAAATAACAGTTAATTTTTAAAAAAATAGATTTTCTGTGCCAGAGATTGCACATTCCTTATTAAATCTGTCTTGCTTCTGGAAAGTCAGAAAATTTTAAACAAATGAGTGTCCATTCAATGAAAACCAGATAAAGAACTCATCATAAGCAGATGGACTTTTTCACTAAGCTTTTCATCCTTTCTTCAACTAACTTCTTCATCGCTGTAAAAACAAGCACCGACCACAACTATCTTTCAGATCTGCCATCTGAAATCTGTCCTTGGAGCAGAGTTCAAAATTAAAGAAATTAAAGGTGAACAGTGCAACAAGAGTTTAAAGTAAACCCTGTTCCTTCTCTTCACCTACCCTCCTAAAAAACAGAAGATATTTTATAGTTAGGTAAACCCTGAGTACATCTTAGAAGTAATTAATACTTTTCTAATCAAGATCTAAACCAAGTTATAAATCTAAAAAATTATCAGGTTTGGAATAAAAGAAAAATAAAAATAGCAAAGTTACTGCTAAAAAAGACATCTGTACTCTTTAAGTACAACTTATAGTGGAAGAAGGTAAAAACATCACTCAAGATAACAGTAAGTAAAATAATTTCATGCCTATCTAAAATAGCAACATTAAAACACAAAGGAGTTGTTTAGCTATAAACAAAAACTACTAATAGCAAAGAAAATATTTTTAAAAATTTGATAGTTGAGTTCCTGCACTGAGGGAGCTAGCTACATAACAGGACGGAAGCAGGGAGAATGAGGAAGAAGGGGGAGGAGGGAAAGGGGGAAAAGGGGACAGGAAGGAGGGGGAGAGGGAGGGAGGGAGGGCCTTGTCTTTCCCTTATGCATTTTAACGGCTCCCTCTGACGCCCCCATGTTCCCCAGTGGCACTGTTATTTTCCCAGTCACCCAGGTTCGAACCACTGCAGGATCCTGCCATTTCCTCTACTCTGAACTTCATATTCTACGAATTACTGTCTTCTTGATCTCTATGTACTCTTTCTTCTGGAAAATCCCTTCTCCTGCCTAAATATTTATTTTCATTGATTTTTTAAAAATGGAAACATTTATGAATTATCTTGAAAATATCAGTATTATAAAATAAAATTAGTAACTGAGTAACTTTGTGTTATCAATTCAGTTTCCCAGCCGTCTGAAAAAATGTAGAAATTGCATCCAATCTATGACTATAATTAAATTGTTTTTTATATTTTTAAAAGTCTAGAATAGTCCCTTTTTGAGATTAAATGTCCTTTGAGAGTCCCTAACTGTACAATTTTTCACATAGTCATTGCTTCCCTTCCACTATCATTGTTACTGAAAGATAAGATACTCCCTGTCTCCAGACCTCCTCTCCTCTTCCATTCACTGAAGTACTGTTCAGATTACGTGGATTCTGCATAAAAATCTCTGGAGTTCCCCACTACTTAGCATATACTATATTTCTCATTCCTCCATTTCTGTCTAGTGAGCCCAGGCTCCGCCCCCACTTGAATCTACCATTTCAACTTGGTCTCTAACAACTGACATACACAGGCCACCTCATCCTCCAGACAACTCAACCCTAAAGTATCTTCTGCATACCCAATATACATGATTCATTCTACAAAACAAAACAAAACTAAACTAAACTAAACACCTACTATACCCTCAAAACTGGATACAGCAATGAACAAAAATAAATAAATAAAAAAACAAACAAAAAACCCCCCTAGAAATCCTTGCCCTCGCACAGCATACATTCCAGTGGGAAGAGACAAAGAATAAACGAAATAAGTAAATTATACAACGTAACAGAAGGTAGTAAGTACTAAGGGAAAAAACAAGGCAGGTGATAGTGAAAAGGAGCCTAAGGAAATAAAAGGTAGATTTTGCAGTTTTAAAGGCTGTTTGAAGACCTCACTGAGGTAATACTTAAACAAAACCTTACATCACAGGAATATGCAAGAAAAGAGAGTTCAAGAAGTTTTATTTTACAGATCATAATTAATTTGCTTTTGAAAGGAAAGGTTAAAAAAGAGATGCTAAGGATGAACTATCCTCATATCCTGCCAATTCAAATGCCACTTCCTCAAAAACACATCATCTTGGCTACCCTCTACAATTCTGACCCTTTCCGCCAAACCTAGCTTACTACTCTCGAGATTTACCCTGCCCTGGCCAGGTGGCTCAGTTGGTTGGAACATCATCCCGTACACCAAAAGGATGCAGGTTCAACCCCTAGTCAGGGCACATACCTAGCTTGCAAATCCAATCCCTGGTTAGGGTGCCTACCAGAGGCAACTGATCAATGTCTCTCTCTCATCAATGTTTCTCTATCTCCCTCTCTCCTTCTCTCTCTAAAATCAATAAATATATCCTCGGTGAAGATTTAAAAAATAAATGTTCTTTTAAAGATTTACCCTGTTTTAAGTTATATATTACTATCTATACTTTTTCACTGTCAGTCTTCCCCAAGGATACTCAGTAGAAAGACATGTCCAAGATAGGAGAGCTCCTTGTCTCATTACTGGAGTAACAGTAGCTCCTAACAATGTCTGACACAAACTATGTGCACTAAGTCAATATCTTGGTATAAAATTAATTTTTCATAAAACAATCTTTAATGATCAAAGTGTTCATGATGCATTACTAAATGAATAAAACAAATTACACAGTATAATATATAATGTGATACTACTTTTATAAAATAAAAAACACATACTCTTTAGGTGGTACATGGTAAAACAATCCATTAGAAAAATGAGTTCTAAATCATTGTCAACGTAACTAAAAGCTGCTCACCTGCTGGCCTTGAGGACTTTGCAAGATCTGAGCCACAGCTGTGAGCGTGTCTGTATTTGCTATCTGGGATACCCACGGATCAGGCAAACCTTGGACCACGTTGGCTGGAGTAACAGGTGTCACAGGAGTTCCTTTTTAAAAAGACATCACACCCACCCCAATAAATATGTAAGTAAAGAAAAAACACTTGAAAAGAAAAAATGTGCTCTGCCACTTTAATAAAATCTATACAAATTTACATAAATATTTTCCTTTTACTGTCCCCATTTTGAAAACCCGTTACAGAATTAGGTAGGGTAAAGTGCCAAAAGGATCATCCACACTTGTCTTCAATTAACCACTTTAAAGGTGGCTACAAGGCTTAGCCATCACTACAAATCTTACTACAGAAGAAAATTCATGACATAAGAAAATACACAAAATACAACCTTCAGTGAAAAATTATAAAATAGTATGTATAAAACTTTTTTTGTTCAAAAATCTGTGTGTACACACACCAAGAACTAAACACATACCAAAATGTTACCAAATGTAATTCTTGGATGATAAAAAAAATTATAAATGTCAATTAAATAACTGAGGAAACATTTTGAGATTATCACTAAAGCATTCTTGGCTCCATTAAATAATTTTTTCAGGTTCCTTATAATATTAAGTTTCCCTAGTATACTGTGAATATCAAGTTGATCTGCATGTGAGTTTAAAGGATTACAGGCAGTTAAATCCGGAAAAACCTAATTAACACACCAATTTCCCTAACTCTTTTATCTTTATGTTTCTAGGGACCAAAAGTATTCGGCTCCGCAGTTTTTAGAAACAAATTACACACAAATATCATTTCTGACTTTATTTCTCCTCCAAATCACTTTCCCTTTCAGTAACGTAAATCCTGCTGCCCGGCCCCGTCATTCCCGTCTACAGGAACAATCAATCACCCGAGGGCAGGCGGGGACTGCCTGGACGGCCAGTCTCTGTCAAAGCCACGTACCTGGGGTGTTGCTCATCGCAGCTGTGGTGCCGGCCAGGACCGGGGTGACGACTGGCGGTGGGATCCCCGCTGCCATATCCAAAAGAGGCTGAATAATTTCACTCTTAAATACGTTATTCTTCTGCCATAAGTTTAATACTCTTACTATTTTACTCTAGAGGAAAAAAAAGAAAAATGACATCTTGATTTTTGCTTTCAAACCTTAGCACAGTCGCTTTATAGAGACTATTTGGGCAGTGGGTAGCAAGTATACATTAGTATAATTTCTACCAGGCTTTCCACCCCTAAAATTATTTCTGTAATTTTGCATTTGGTAACCTTAACTCCCTTGGGAGGGAAAAAAACAGGTTCACTTCGACAGACACACGAGGTAAAGGAAAGCCACATTTAGCAGAAGGCGGGATGGGGACCTGGCTCCAGCTTCCTGTGAGGTCGAGTGGGATCACGGTGGTGGCCGGCCGGGGAGCTGTGAGGCTGAGGCAGGTCAGGACTCACTTCACTACTCAAGTCATAGTTAATTTTAACTTTATCTTTTATACAAATAAGTAAAATCAAGACCAAGTTTCATTTTAAAACTAAGGACAGGGAAGGTTAGTTCCTCAAAGAAGAATTCAACCAAATTTATATTTTTTCATAACTGTTCAGCATATAAAAGTTCTGTAAACAGCACTAAATGTTAGTTACTATTGTAACCACTTATTCCATTAGGAAAATAATTTAAATGACAGGTTGAGATTAAGTATTAAAAAGAGACTTCTGTTAAATATATCTGTTAACAGTAAAAGAAGCAATTTTAAGAATAAACATCTGGTTTGTCTTCAAAACCCTTTTAATATTATACTGATGAATTTCAAACTATGTCCAAACTAATTAACATGCAAATTCTTGTATTTCAAATGAAGCACAGAAAATTACACAAAGAATGCTTCATACCTTCTCAAATGACTGTCCTTTCTATGACGTGAGCACTTTTTAAGTACCTTACAGTTTTTTGCTTTATAGAAAAAACTCTTCCAGTTCCCAAGACACTCATCCTGTAATTCAAAATTAGCCAGTCTCTGACAAGTATTCTATGCATCTACCTACATACAAACAATGCCTCAAGTTTATGACTGAGAGTACAGTATCAATGTAATCTTTCCTACTATGGTTTAAAAAAACCCTCTATCATATAAACTCTATTATAAATGAGAAACATTATTATTATGAAGCCTACAAATTCAACACTGATTTGTTCATCACACACATAGAAATCCAAGTTCAAGTTGGTGAAATTTCTAAATCGAAGTATTTTACTTTAAAAAATTTTTCCATAAAATTTTAGATGAGTTATTTTAAGTGGGATTCTAAGGTATCTATTTTAAGAACCACTTAGTAGGTAACTTAAAATTAGCATTCTTTTGGCCTGCAGAGAATTATCAAAGTACCAAAGCAATTTTTAAAAAAAACTGTCTCAAGAAGCATATCCAAGAATAGTTTACAAAACAATGATATGATAATATCTCCATACAGATCCATTATAACAAGGTTCTTTTCTAATTAAAGGCTATAATTATCAGCCCTGGCTGGTGTGGCGCAGTAGACTGAGCGTCAGCCTGCGAACCGAGGGGTGCCGGTTCCACTCCTGGTCAGGGCGCATGCCTGGGCGTGTGGGTCGGGGTCAGGCTCCCAATGTGGGGCGTGGGAGAAGCAACCACACATTGATGTTTCTTTCCCTCTCTTTCTCTTTCCCTTCCCCTCTTTCTAAAAATAAATAAATAAATAATGCTTTAAAAAAGACTATTATTATTAGAAATAAGAACTACCTAGTCTTGTCCTTTACACAAGGTAAAAGATTTGTGGTAAGCTTTTAAGTTTTGTGGTTCTTCTTTAAAGCAACCATTAAATCTTCATCTATTCTTATCTTTTCCTACACAATCTATATTGCAATCAACCCTGTCAGAAGAGCACACTAAATTTCAAATCAACACCCAAAATAATTAACCTTCTAATATCTTTGATTATACACGAAGGTAAACAAACCCTTGTTATTCTCCTGCAGGGTCTAATGCCTTTTATTCTATGTGGTGCAGAATATTTACTCATTCAGATCTAGCAGACCTAGTAGTCTGGTTTCCAGCACTAATAAACGACTATTACAAAAAATTTTGACACACAGTTATTTCCTATTAATCACTTCACAAATCTGCTTTTCACAGACACTAAATAGGTAAATTAGATCAAATAATCAAAATTCTGAATGATGTTATAAATTCTGAAATGGTTGTGTGTGTGAATGAATAAAAGCTTGTGATAGCAAGTTTCTTTAACACCAATTGTTTCAATAAATTAAAAAGTAGCAAAATCAACCACATCTCTCCAGTCTGTTTAAGAAGATTCTAAAGACAAAAAAAAACACAGATAGTATAGTAACTAAACTAAATATTCAAATTTGGAATAACTAAAAGTAAAGAAAACATACAATTATAAATTAAGATAATCTAAAGAGTCTCATTAAGACCAAAAAGGGTAATGTTACCTACTTTAAAAAAAAAAAAAAAAAAAGCATACCTTGTCATCCCCAGGGCAACGATATAAATTCTGGAAAGTGCTAATGATGTTATTACTAAATCTGGGTGCAAAGACATCCTTTTCTTGACCAAACTGATGTCGAGATTGTCGTACAATGGAGTCAATAACATAAAGTCCAGGTACCTTGTATTCTGGTTTACACTGATGAAAAAAAGAAGAGTGGGAAGGGAAGGGAAGGAAATGAGAAGGTAAAATTCCTGATAGAAAATCATCACAAATTCTATACAAACACAAAACATGGTGAGGTAGTGAATATTCAAATATTTACTATTCCATACCATCTTTGTCTAGAATGGTAATTTTAAAGTACCTACTTTAAAATTTACAAACTCATTCAACTGCCAATCACCTAAGTTCAAAAATAGGGTTCTGCACAACTCTTTTGAACAACAATAAACAAAAGGATAAATAGGATACTGTTGTAATTAAAAATTCTGCTTAAAGATTCTGCAAAACCACATGGATGGAAGAAGCAAATCCAGGAAAGAGCTCTAGAAAAAGCATTGCCAAGGTGCTTTAGATTTTATTTGAAACCTGTAACAGAAGGGTTTCTGTACTAACGTGAGAACAAATACCAAATGGCAAATTATAACATTATAAATACACTGATCCCAAAGTTTCCATACTTTTTCAAATACCACACCTGTTAAGACACTTCCACAAAAACACTGTTTTAGCTACTCCAATCATAAATGTTTCTCACCTTCTTATCCACAACCCAAACTAAACAAAAAAGTCTCCTCCTTTCTTGCCAGAAGCTTTCCTAGCTTATCTAGTTAGGTGAGCACAGTAACGACACCTTTTACTAATAACATGTTCACTGCTTTTAGTTTGTCTTCATGTCAAGAAGCATAATGAAACCTGCTTCCCAAACATACTGTTGATTAAAATAGAATTATGGCTGCAAAGAGAAGGTTCGACTCTTGGGTCTAATTGGGATTTCAACCCAAGTACTGTAATTTCCCAGAAATTACATATGGTACCAAATCAAAATTGTGCTCTTGAAAAACTTTTCTTAGAAACTCAAATACCAATAAGAAAAGGATGTTCATTCCATCCCCTACACACAAACACATATTTCTAACGGCATATTTAACTGATAAAATAAGTGATTTCAATCTGAAAAAAAAAAGGATATTTCGTATGTTCCTTCAAATCCTTTTTAAGAACCTTCTTTCTCCTTAAGGTCTTTATTAAATCAAGAAAAGGAAGAGACCTTTAGCACCAACTCACAAGTATCTATTGTAAGAGTCTGACTGTGTATTTGGATATTAAAATCTCAGGTTTTACCTACATAAAGGTTTGGAAATAACTGCTCTGTTGAAATGTATCATTTTTCAAAGTCTGAAATAGTTTGCCCCCAATTTCCCCCCAAATCCAGCATATCTGTCCTTCAGTTCATGTGTCTGGCCAAGGCTATTTTCCCTTCACTGCCATTTCCCTTCACTACCAATATATATTCAAAGAAATATCTACCTAGTAGGGCAAAAAAATACATCTCAGTAAAGAAAATCCTAAAATGTTTTTTCAATTTTCTCTTCAATTCTAGCACTACTGAAAAAACACAAGAATTCTTAAGACTTTCCAATGTCATGAGGTATTTTTTTACTCCTAGAATTTTTTTTAAAAGCTAAGTCATATTAAATTTTGAGCTACACAACCTTCAGACTACATAGTAATAATTTCCAATTTCTCAGGTGACAAAGAAATAACCCTTCTGGAGGGAGGAAAGCAATAACAAATTGAGAGAATTCACTTTTAAACATATTTGTGTGACTTTCATTCTGATATTATCCAAGTTGTTATCTGAATACCATCACGAGTCAGTTTTCTGACAAAAGATCCTCTAAATGAGTTGGACCCTATAGTTTGAAAAATATAAATAAACTTTCTATAGTGACTTGTTACCGCCCATTTCAGCCACTAGAAGTCTGTGTTACAGAAAACAAAGCTAGAAGGGCAAAAACAGGAGCCCGCGGCTGTGGCTGCAAAGCACTGGACGGCTGACAGCAGCGAGTGAGGAGAGAGAGAGAGAAGCTGTCATCGTGGGGCACTCACACCTGCTCTCTCCCGAGTTCTCGCAGCACACGCTGGAGGAAAACCCTCTCGTGCTTCCCGAAGGGGAGTCGTTCTGGGAGAGCCAGCAGCAGCAGCAGCACTCTGTTCTTCACGAGGCCTGCTCTCTGCACTAACTATCTGGCCAGAGCCTCACCGGCTGGGGTTCAACCCCAGCCCGAGTGACCTGGGTGGGAGAGTGAGGGGACAGGAAATGTGCGGCTGCAGCCATTCCAGCCACCCCGTTGCACTGAAGAGGGATTTTGAAAAACTGAGAAGCACGTGTGAAGCTCACAGCCCAGAGGCACAGGCTCTATAAAAAACCCAACTAAGATGATGCTTAAGAGCGACAAACGGGAAGTTTGCCCGCTCTGGCCAGGGATGGCTGGCAGTCAAGTAAGCATGCCCCTCTCGGCACTGCTCTTCAACAGGCACTGGGAATCCTCAGAAACGCAATTAACACGCGAATAAAAGGTGCACTGGTTGGGAAGGCAGGTTCAACAAGAACTAAACATATCTAATACTCTTAACTGAGCCTACAAGATGACTGACCTTCAGTGCTAACTTTGAACCAATCTATACGGTATTTCTTAAGAAACAGCATCAAACTGGGTAGCTTAAAACTACAAAATAAGTGAAAAGAGCAAGTGGATTTTCTATTGAAGCTCAACTACTTCTATGTCATTTTCAAGACACAGACAATTCAAGTTTTCCAAAAAGTGTGGAACCTCAGAAATCCCACAGGAGCAATTCTACTTCCACAACACTGGAGCTGGAGAGGACACTGGGGAATCGCTAACCCCTCCCCGCTCACAGAACCTCGGTCACACCAGTGAGGAAGAGATGGGAGGTGACGGCGTTCTGTGCTGCACAGCCACGGGGGAATGGAGATGACAAGCCAAAAAAAAAAAAAAAGTGTCTGATGAATCAAAGTCGAACAATTCCAATTTTTATACACAGCTTGGTAAAATACCTGAGGCTGAACTACATGTGATATACTGAATTTGTGGAAAAAAAAAATGCAACAGTAGTCATAAAGCAACCTAATATTTTTTTAGTTTTGGTAATACACTACACGCTTTCTTGCCCTTTGACCATAGAAATTCTATTTGATGCATCCTTAAGACTCTAAAAAAATCTTGATAAAAAAGTTTTGATGCTGGTTCCAATTTTAACTCCTTGAGTACAGGTAATATTAGGATAATATATTTTTAAAGTAACCTTTAACTAAGACTCTGTACTATAATCTACTATTGATTAAATTACATGTGAATCTACAATTATCTCAAAATACAAAGTTTAACTAAAAATATACATTTCCAACCTAATTTACCGTTACAGTAACTCACTGTTGAATCGCTGATTTAAATGGGGGGATGGGGAGGGAGGGGGACAAAGCATCTAAATCCCCGCCACCACGCCCCCACCCCTGGCCAACAATGACTAAGGAACGTCGCCCCTCTCTGGCCTTCTCTCTAGGGCAAACTCTAGAACAGCAAAAGAAGCTGTTCGGGCTTCACCATCTCCACAGGCGGCGAAACAGCTGAACAGACCGCACACCTTGCTGGCTGCGCACAGCGGAACTGCTGCTGAAGCGGAGCCCCGTAACTGCGCAGGATACAGAAACTATTCTGCGTGCCATTTCCAGTGATGCCTTTCAGGCTGCTGGCAAACTAGATGAAACTGCGAAGCTCAGCATGATAAAAGAATGTGGCAGTGTGGACAAAATTAAAGCTCTACAAAGGGGTAGAAACCATGAAAACGCGTGTAAAGCCTCATTAATAATAAATATATTGGACTGAGAAGCATTTCTTGCGGGGAGTCCAACCCGTGGTCCAGGGGCCACACGCAGCCCAGGGTGGCTATGAATACAGACAGCCCAACACAAAATCGTAAATTTACTTAAAACCTTTTTTTTTTGGCTCATCAGTTTTTGTTAGCGTTTATGTACTTAATGTGTGGCCCAAGACAACTCTTCTTCCAGTGTGACCCAGAGACGCCAAAAGGTTGGACACCCCTGCTAGAGGAAGAAGATCAAAATGCTGTTCCAGAAACTACCGCTCAAAGTTGCGTATTACAAGTTCAGGGTGGCCCACCGAGGACGCTTTTTACATTGTGTAGCTGAGGCATAAAGTTTTGTTTGCTGTGTATTATGCTTGGTATAAGTTTGTCTTACCACTTCTCTAAAAACTCTTTTTAAATGTGGATACAGTTTGTTATTTTAGCATTTTTTCCAACAAAATTTTACTTGAACAGATCCAAATTATACAATACAAAGCTCCTCTCAATAGGTTTCTTAGTTCTCTGTGGAAGTTCATATGTTGCAGTGTCCTATAAATGAAGATTAAATTCCACCCCTTTTCTTTACTTCAAAAAAATTTTTTTTTCCAGATATTGACTTGCTCCTTCAGACTGGCTCTATAATTATCTCAGAGTAAAATAATTGTGCTCACCCAAGGTCTCCTAAGATTCTGAAATACCTAATTAGAAGTGCCCTTAACGCAAATCAAATCAGTCAAAACACATTAATCCATAAATTCATATTTATCCTTTAAGCCCTTACTACTCAAGCTGGGGTTTCAGAACTGAAAGCAAAGGTATTGTCTTGGAACAGTCCTAAATGCAATCTCAGCCCCTGCCCACATTAGTGAATCCGAACCCGCATTTTAGTAAAACCCCTACGTAATTCCTCTGCACAGAAATGTTTAAGCAGCACTGCTCTAGACATTCAAACCTTTTCAAAAAGACTTTTAAAGGCTTCAGAATGATGACAGTTTCCAACCGCCAACATTTTTATTTTATACTTTGGCTTACCTAACACACACAGCATACTTATTTTTACCTAGTGAATTTTTAGACTTAATTCACTAGTTGTTCATCTCAAAATATATTTCATTACAAAAATATTTTAAGTATTGGAAAACCTGTAAGAGCAAACACCAAACCACACAAAGGCTGCCTCACTCACTCACTCTAGGTTGCCTAGCCAGTCTAGTGACAGGACTCTCACTCTGACCCATGCACCCTTTCCAGGCTACTTGCACTCAAGAAGGACACGGCAACCTTGCTGAACCTTAACGCCATATGCCTCTGATGCTCAAAACTGGCTCTGCTTCGAACTAGGCACGTGAACATGGGAGGAGCAGAAAGTCTAAATTCAACGACAGTACAGAATTCCTATTGTATCCTTCTGTAAGTTTTAAGGCTTAGGTACTCCTGCCCCAAACTGTGACACCAATAGTACACTGACCACAAAGAAGGCAAAGAAGTATAGTCTTGTCACCTCAAATGTGCACAAGATACAGCTTTCAACTTTATCTCCCTCTCCTTACCCTGGAAAATGGGGCTTCTGGTCTATATCATGACATGTTGAGAAGTCTAAATAACGTCCTAATGGATGAGACAAATGCACCAGCAGAGGCGAAGTGACCGGTAGGCAGTAATTTTATCCCCACCTAATCTAAACATAGGGCTGCTCTCTAGGCATTCAGCTTGAAGTTACAAATGAAAATTTCTTTAAAGGCTATAAAAAGGAATGAATTTAAAATTTCATTAGAACCCAGTCATATTGCCCTGGCCAGGTGGCTCAGATGGTTGGAGCATCGTCCCATACACCAAAAGGTTGTGGGTTCAATCCCCAGTCAGAGTGTGTACAGAAGACAACTGATCAATGTTTCTCTTTCACAAAGGTCTCTCTCTCTCTCTCTTCCTCTCTAAACATATCTTCAGCTAAGGATTGAAAAAAAAAAGTCAGTCATACTGATGGCAATTTCTTCAAGGAACAGATGATCACGATGGCAATGAGAATTATCAAAAACATCTGCCTGAAAACTATTGTTCTTAGAATTATCCAAAAAGCACTTTCATTTTATTTCTTAACTGGAAAATCATTTTTGAACAGTCCATCAAACAATGTCAACTTGGTATTCAATTTAAAAAAGAGCACAAGGCATTAATCTATAATTATATTTAGCATATATATGGAAAACTGTATACTCACCTTCTGAATGAATTTCTCAACACTCTGTACCACATGTTTATAGAACTAAAAGAAAAAATAAAGCATGGAGTTAAAATCTGTTTGCTTAGATTAGGATTTTCCTGCTAAACAAAGGAATTAATATAGTTTCAATGATCTATAAAAATAATGAATATTAATCATGAATTCTGAAACAACCATTCATGTCACTCACCTTCACAACTAGCTATGATACCTAATGCATAGAGGGATTCCTGAAGTATTGTAGGTACGTGGTCAGTATACCCAAAGTGTTCCGCATTAACAAAGATACACAAGAACTGTCACAGCCTTTATGAAAGCACATTTTCACAAATAGTTGCGATGACAGCAAAAAGTATCTGTGATAAGCACACTGGCAGATACGTATTATTTTTTGTGGAAGGAAAAGATTTCCTATAACATCATTTTTTCAGTTAAATTAGGGCAGTACTAGAAAAATCAAATAACTGTTAACAAATGGAATAATGTAAGCAAGGGGCCTGGCTGGTATAGCTCAGAGGATTGAGCATGGGCTGCAAACCAAGGGGTTGCTGGTTCAATTCCCAGTCAGGGCACATGCCTGGGTTGAGGGCCAGGTCCCCAGTGGGGGTCATGTGAGAGGCAACCACACAGTGATGTTTCTTTACCTCTCTTTCTCCCTCCCTTCCTCTCTCTAAAAATAAATAAACAAAATCTTTTAAAACAGAATGTAAGCAAAGGAGTTGTTTTCAACTGCATTATCTCCTCTGCTTCTCCTAGAAAATGGAACTGCAAGTATATGTAATTATATCTAGAGATGTGTAAGGTTCTAATGGATCAGACAAAATGAATCAACAGACGTGAAGTGAGCACAGAGACTGAAATTTAGTAATGGGTTACTATCAACTATGAGCAAACTTAGATTTAAGTTTTATAACCAACACAATGAATACACCTGAAAGTGGAAAATAATGGAAATTATAGATTAAACAAAAAGTATCTAGAATTTCTGCTTAGTAATTAATACCTCAATGGCAATTGCATAACTGACATATTTCTATTTAAAGATAGAAATATGCTTTGAATTGTCACAAATTATGCTTTTAAGGGATATGCCCTTAGGCTGAAGAGACAAGAACATTCAAGTAAACTGCATCATAAAATTCAATATTTATAAAACTCCAAAGTACTGGAGTATTACTCATACTCAACAAATCAAGATCTAAAATTTCCTTACTAGAATAGTTTATGCAGCAATTTAAGTTAAGTGAAAAACCAGAACTACTTAAAAAGTTATTAGGCCCTATTAGGCACTTAAAAATTTTAAATCAATATACATAATATTAAATAATTACTCACCAAGTGATACTTATTAAGTAATAATTCTTCTGGAAAACTTCTTTCTTAGCAGTGAGTGCTTCTTGAGTCTAGTCACTTTATGTACTGTACGTAATTCAGAGTAAGACTACTTACTAAACTATAATTCAAAGATATTAATTCACACAGTCTTTCTTCCACAATATCCATGAGGTTTTGTTGAGTGTCCCATGTTAAGAAGCACCCATGAAAATAATCCTCTGAACACTGATTACACCTTACCTCAACATAAAACACAGCCTTAAATTTAAGTACGATTTAAAAGCAGTTCAAACCTCAATTTATATATGTACTAAGTGCAGTTTTAAAATAACACAAGGGGGAACCGAAAACACTAAAAATATCTTCTGGAGGACAGGTGGCCCCTTGTAGCACAGGCTTCCCCTGCTAGGTGAGTGTTCAAGGAACCCATCTGTATCAGTGCTCCAGCTGGCGTTGCTGTGAGAGGCTGTGTTCAGCCTCAGAGAATTTTTTCAAAGAGTCAACACATTTGTCCATTTCATGATGGGATATTTATAAGCACACCTGCCCACACCACACTAAGTATTTAGCAGCTTGACCAAAACCAGCATGACCCCATGCCCCACCCTCCCTATTCACCCAATCTTGCCCAAGCAACTGTTTTGTTTTCCCGGGTGAAAAAAGTCCTCCAAGGGAAACATTTTGCAGATGTGGAAGAGGTGAAACAAAAAAACAGCAGCAGCACTAAAAGGCATCAAAATCAACGAGTTCAAAAGCTGGTTCGAGCAGTGGAAATAATGTCCTTATAGGTACGTTGCATCAAATGGAGAGTACTTTGAAGGTGACTGAAGTTTAAACATGTAAGAATACACACACACATTTTTTAAATGAATTCCGGGGCTTTGGGAGCGTCCCTTCTTATAGCAGTGCTGAAGTGCTGGCCAGCGCAGCTCAGCTGGTTGGAGCACTACTGTCCTATAAACCGAAGGGTCACGGGTTTGGTTCCTGATCAGGGCGCACGCCTAGGCTGACAGATCAGGTGCCTGGCCCGGACATGTTAAGAGAGGGAACTAGTCAATGTTTCTTTCTCACATCGATATTTCTCTCCCTCTCTTTCCTTTCCTTCCCCCCTCTCTAAAATCAGTAAACATGTCTTCGAGTAAGGATGAAATAAAAAATTAAACAAAGTGCTTAAAATAAAATAATACAGTACTGCAAAAGCAGTCTGAACTCTTCAAAAACATCAACAAGAAAAACAAAACAGGAAGGGTGGGTGGCAGGACAAGTAACATAATATGTGATCTTGCCTGAATCCTGAAAAAGCAGGGGCGCAGGGGACAGCTATTAAAGTCAATACTGAGACAACTGGTCAATGTAAGTGTGGACTGCACATTAGATAAAAGTACATCAAAGTGAAATTTCTTTCATGGGATTACTGTGTTAAGGTTAGTTACAAAATGTCTTTGTTCTTAGGAAATTCAAATCTAAGTATTTAAACTATGATTACAAATTAAACATGAAACTCAAACGATTCAGTGAAAAAAAAGTACGTGTAGAAATATTTTACAAATCTGAATTTTTTCAAAATTTAAAAATTTTAAACAGTTAACAATAAAACAAAATACAGTGTATCATAATATTTAGACTCTTGAATGAGAGAAACTTTACTGTATTATTGCAACTATTACAAATTACTTAATTTCTCTTAGACCTTCCAATAATAAAAAATGGAAATAATGTTAATACCTATGCTTTACAGAGTTTTGTAATTTAAAAATATTCTGTTCAACAGAAATTATGTAGAATCCACCAATTACTAATGTTCACGGGAGAAAGTTACTAACATGTAGGCCTATACACTCTCGGGACCAGGACCTAAGAATCGGATCACAGTGCGGACCACCACCAGTAAAGATACTAAACACCCTCTACTAAGCCCATTACAGGCTCTGAAAAGTCACTTGGAAGAATTCTCTGGCTTAAATGTGTTCACTGGTGACTGTCCTTGTCTCTTCTTCGATTTTCTGCATATAAGTACAAGAATATTAACTACGGTGCTTTAAGATCATGACTACAGATCTTAGTCTGAAAACTTAAGATTTAACCACTAGAACACTGCAAAATCATCTAATTATATAAATATTCTCTAGTGGCAATTCTCAACAAATAGGAACTTGTTAAATTAGTAGACACTGCTGTTTATTCAGAAACAATTTATGAAAATAACAGGTGCTTCAGGTTCTGGCTGATGTCCTTATTCAGAGTAAAAGAACATCACCAAACATCCATAGGTTAACACCTGCATAATTAAAAAGAAGCACTGGTTCTTAATTGTAACAGCCCAGGGAGTCTTAGCTTTGGGGACAGGACCCCCTTGGAGAGATGTCTATGGCTAAGCATAAAAGGTCCTCGAAGCCAAGAAATTCAGTGGATTTGTACCCTTCTCTAAAGGGTGTCCGGCTTTCTCCTGAGGTTTTCACTAGTACCCCTGAATCAGCATGCATCCGAGACCACCGCGGCAGAGCAACGGCTCAACGTCTGCAGCCTCTCACCACAGTTCAAATGTCCTGGGTACACGAGGCTCAACTGTTTTCCATAACGGCCCATTTTAAAATCTACAACATAACCAATAAGAAAAAACTCATTAAAAGCTTTTATTTAGAAAACTTTTACTAACAGAGAAATTTTACTAAATTCAAGATTTCAAGATTCTGTAAAGTCAGTGTGCCAAATAGCAGTGTTAATAAACATATTCTCCAAAATGTGGCTTTATCTAAAATCTTACCTGCCTGAGAAAAGTATGGGAAAATGACTGCTTCAAAGTTTATGGAAGAATGTGTACCAAATGTTAAGTGTTTATCTTTAGGTAGGAGAGCTCGTAGTAACATATTTTTATTTTTGTGTTTTCCCCCATGAACACGCATTAACTCTGTAAAGAGGAAGAACACATACCATCTGTAGAAATTGCCCCAACTACAAAATATTAAAATAGTTTATTTTTTAAAAACCAGAATAAAATTTATTACTCACCTTAATAGCTTTGATGGCTGCCTTAGTAATTTGGGTCATTTTTGCTTTAGAAATCGGTGGTTTGTAGTCATTCAGGGAATATAACTAATGGGGGAAAAAAAACCCAAATTTTAAATTCAGCAATGCTAGTTGCCTCAAAGCAATTGCATGAAATTACCAAACATTTCCAGTTTTATACTCTCAATGAAATCAAAGTGCTGGCTTTCTTTTAAAAGTCAAGTTCAACATTATTAGCCACCAGGGAAATGCAAGCCAGAACAACATTGTATCAGTCACACTTGCTTATAGTCAAAAGACAGTGTTAGTAAGAATGTGGAGAAAGGGGAACCCTTATACATTGCTAATGAGAATGTAAAATGGTACAGCAGCATAGGAAAACACTTTGGCAGTTACTTAAGAAATAAAACAGTAATATATAACATGGCCCAGCAATTCTACTATGAGATATATAATACTCAAAGGAGTTGTAAATATATGTTCACATAAAAACATGTACACAAATGATTACTAAAACATTATTTATTAAAAACTCATTTAAAAAGTGAAAATCACCCAAATGTCCATCGACTGATCAAAACTGAATAAACAGTAAGTTATCAACATTCAATGAAATATTAGTCATGAAAAAGAAATGTAGTAATACATGCTACAAAATAGAGGAACCTTAAAAATACTATGCTTAGTTTTAAGGAAAAAGCCGTATTAAAAAAATGTTACAGGGTTACACTTATGTGAAATGTCTAGAAAAAAACAAATCAATTGGTAACTGTTGACAGCTGAGGGGGGGATGGTGGGTGGGGAGAAATAAGGAGTACTAATAAGCACTACATTTCTTTTTGAGGGTAACAAAAAATATTCTAAAACTGAATGTGGTGATGGTTGTACAACTGTACTAAGAACCACTGAATTATATACATTGGTTAATTATATGGTATGTGAATTACATCTCAAAAAAACTATTTAGAAATCAAGGGATATAATATTTAACAATAATCTCCCCACCAAAAAATTTTTTGTTCTGAAGCTTCTTATATGAGCAAAGGATAATACTGCTTACAGAGAAAACAAAGACAAGGTGGGGAATTAGGAAACAGAATTAACTAAGCTTAAATGAATACTGCTTAAAATTTGCATTGTATTGAGTGATGCTCAAATTTGAAATAATGCTGAAAGATACTATGTACAAGTCAGGAAGCTAAACTTTGGCCATTACAACACTGCAAGAACAACTTGTACAGACAATAAGAGCAATGTAACCAAATTTGTTGGTTAATCAACTAGATATCTCAAAGTTTTCTATATAACCTTCCAGCACCTCTTATAACCTATCCTTCACTGAATTCTATTAATTTTTACCCAGTTTTCTTCATATTTGTCTCCTCTCCTCCTCCAACCATGATCACAACTCCAAATTACCTTCATCTCTCAGACAGAGAACACCTAAATGGATGTGGCCTGTCTATCTTTACAGAAACTAATCTGATTAAGTGGTTAACACCACCCACACTCTCTACCCCTTAAAAAGGTCAATGACTTCCCATTCTTTGGGAAAACACACCAATCTGCATATACAAGGCCCTGCCTGACCTAACACCTGCCTGCCTTTCCAGTTTCATCTAACCCCTTGAGTCCCTCCCAGCCCTCTGCTCCAGGCACACCGATCTTTACCAGTTCCCTAACACGAAACCTTTAAAAAGGGTTTGTTCTCTATCTGGACTACCACCCACCAGGACCGCCTCACTAGCTAAAGCACACTCATCCCTCTCAGTTAAAGCACCCCCGAGTGAGGAAAGCCTTCCCTAGCCTCTCCAACCAAATCAAAACCTCCTTGTCATGCTTTCATTCAACTGTTACTCACCTTGAAAGCATTCACTGCAGTAATTTACTTATGTGATGATTTAATGACTGAGTATTAATCAAAGACAAAGGATGTAAGTTCCTTAATGCAGTTGAAGTTAATAAGAGGTTAACTCTACACCGACAGTTATCCAAGTTGAAATCAAGCCTGGTACAGCATACAAACATCCTTCCCTTAAGCGTCCACAAAGTGTCCACCTGTTGATAATAACGCCCAACCAGGGGTAGGATCTCATCTGATCCTTTAAGAAGCTACCTCTGTCAAACTCACAGGGAATTTTAGTATACCTACAGCCTCACTTCCTACTCTTATGCCAGTCTACTCACCAGGTGCACAAATAAAGCCACGAATTTCTTAGTCTCAGGCTGCCGCCCACTGGAGACCCAACCCTGCCCTCTTCTACTAGAGCAGGGGGTCAAACTCACTTTCACCAGGGGCACATCAGCCTTACGGTTGTCTTCAAAGGGCCGAATGTAATGTTAGGACTGTAGAAATGTAACCACTCCTTAACCGTTAAGCGAGGCACTGCCGCCGGGTAGAAACAAGGTGCTGGGCCGGATGAAACAAGGTGGAGGGCCGGATTCAGCCCTCGGGCCTTGTGTTTGCCACCTTTGTACTAGAGAAAAAGTTCTAAAAAAAAGACCTTGCCTCTGTTTAGGTTGTTTCCTTTGCTCCAAACTATCCTCTGTGTAGAGATTAGATATTAAGAATAAATTAAAATAGAACAAATGCACACAAGACACAGCATTGTGCAAGTTTTTCGCGGTAGGACCTGGATTTGAATTCCAACTAAGTCATCTTATTACAAGCTGCTGAAGCCCTGAAGCTTAGTATTCTCATCTACAAAATAAAAATAATACTGATCTCACAGAAACACTACATATAAACCTTTTTTAGAACACACTAAAGTAGCTCAGCACTGTTAGCCATTGTTAAAATCCTTCTCTTTGGTAGGTATTCTCTATTTGAATGAATGATATTAAAGAATCGATCAAATATTTCTTCACACAGCTACCTGAAGGTCCTCTCTATAGTAACTTATATTACTAGGGCAAGGAAGATGTATCAAGTTCTCCCTATGGTTGACAATACATGACTTTTCATTTTTCTGTAGTAAGCCTTGAAGTGTCAATCAAGCATTAGTCCATACACTAGAAGACCAAAGCTTTGCTTGCCTTCCGTTTTTTGGTCGGGGGAGCGGGGCAGGGTGGGGGGCAGGCGGGGGAGAATGGGAAAACAGAGGGTTGTGGCGGTAATGAGGTAGGGAAAATATAATTTAGACTTGTCAAACATTTTCAACAGTCTGAAAGGTCAGCCCTCATCTGAGAACCCCTTTCAAAAATGCATCTATGGTAGAAATTAAGGTCCTACTCAGAGAAATACTGAATGATTTAGCACTTTTCAGAGCATCACTTCATACATATGTTTCCGCAGTTTCTCTAGATTCCTGAAGTATCATGTCTTTATTAAATTTGATCATCAGGATACAGGCATAGATGATCTAATTCCTTGCCAAATGCCTGAACTAAAATTTAATATTAAGTTCTTAACTTATAAAGATTGATTTAAAAAAATTATCTTGTACCAACCTGTTACATAATTATCTCTACCCAAAAAAGCCCCTTATCTAATAATTCACAAAATATATTTCCCTTAAATTCAGAAACACAAGAATGACTAAGCTAATTCCCATGTGTCTATTTTTTATTGAAAAATAATGATGTGCCGTGTTCCCCTTCCAGGGCACGGCTTGTCGGGACCTTGCTGATGTTGACTAGTCCGAATATACACCTCAGGTCTCTACTAACATCTACTTCACTAACAGGTAACTAGCTGTGTTGTATGCAAAAATAAAACCTGTGTTCAGCTGTGACTCACCTTACTAAGATGCCCCCCCAAGCTCTTTCTGAAGTAGGTGGAGGATAAATTTACATATGTAATGAACCAGTATGAGTCCAGCAATGACATCAGAGAGAGCGTGTTGTCATCCAGTTCTCCCTCTATGCTAGTTCCACATCCAAGTTTAAGTGTTCTATATATTCCACTGTTGCTCAACCCTCAGCATCACACTCAAATCGTCTAGGACCTCCATCAAAGGCTATTTGTTGAGAATTTTTATGAATGTCACTACAACATTCAGTATTTTAGAAAAAAAAACTATAGTGATGATATATGCTTCTAGCCCCTTCAAAGCTTTTAAAAACCTCTGTACATGATACAATGTAAAGACACATGACCTTATTATGTTTAATCAGGTCATGACAGAACGTTTGATAGACAGTGTTCAATAATAAACCATTATTATCCAGCTAATAACTTATTAACACTGCAACAACATTGCCATTAGGAAGTACCAAGCTTCATTCCATCTTCATACTAATCAAATGTATCAATCTGCCACCCGAACTGGGAATGTAATTCTCTCTGTATTCTCAAAATTCAATCTGGACAGAAAACACACCATGGTTTTACAGTGGAAAATGCTGGAGAAGAGTAACAGTCGATGTGGGCACCTTCCTTTTCCTCTCCCTGATGACTCTCATCTCTACGCTTGAGTGAGAAGATCACGGCTGCTTGCTCTCGAGGCTGGGCTTCCTGCATACTCCGTTTTCTCACACATACACGGTAAGCCCTCCATCTACCAGTATGTCTCGGAGTCTGAATCCCTGTTACCATGTTTTCCAGAGTCTAAAGTGGCTGCTGATCCTGCTAGTTTTTTTCCATCAAATTATTCCCTCAATTAAGACTATTTTAATTTCACTAGGGCTTCTGGTGCCTGCTATGTCTACACTCTACTTTCTAAATCCAAGATTTTACCCCTCATACCATGTGAACAAATGTTTACTTATAAAAACACATACATCTGACCCCAGTGATCAAAATGAAGTCCCAGTCTTGACCTGTCCATTCCTCTGGCTACTCAAGACTTACCAATTCAAAGGAAAAATAGTAATCAATAGCTTGGGTTTTCAGCCTAATTAATACATCCTTTATGTTTCAATTTCCCAAAGATACACTGAAAAGTGCTCTTTGAACTAGTAACATTTTAAATTTCTATACTATCACTTGTAGGCACGATATCCAATGTATATTATTAGATCTGAAAACAACTTCTTCAAATCAAATCATGATTTCAGGAATCCTTTACCTAAAACTGGGGTATACTAGATGCTGGCAGCTACTCCAACAACAACAAAAACAAAACTTTCATTTCTAATAAAGATTT